TTTTTTTATATTTTTTTTTTTTTTTTTTTTTTTTTTTAATTTTTTTTTTTTTTTTTATTTTTTTTTTTTATTTTTTTTTTTTTTTTTTTTTTTTTTTTTTTTTTTTTTATTTTTTTTTTATTTATTATTTTTTTTTATATATTTTTGTCAAAAATATATGTATATATTTTTTTTTTATATATATATATATTATATATTTTATTTTTTTATTTTTTTTTAAATATTTTTTTTAAAATTATTTTTTTATATATATTTTTTTTTATTATTTTTTTTATATTTATATTCTTTTTTTAATTTTTTCTATAAATTATATATATTTTATTTTATATTATATATATATATATATTTTTTTTTTATATATTATTAATTATTTTTATATTTTTTTTTTTTTTAATTTTAAATATTTTTTTTAAATTACATATATTTTTTTTTTTTTTTTTTATATTTTTTATTTTTTTATTTTATTTTTATTTATATATTTTTTTAAAAAAAAAATATATATATATATTTTTTATATATATATATATATATTATATATTTTCTTTTTATTTTTTTAAATACATTTTTTAAACATATATATATATTCATTTTTCATTTATATATATATTTTTTTTTTTTTTTTTTTTTATTTTTATTTTTATGTTTTCTTTAAAAAATAAAATAAAAATATATATATATATATATATATATATATATATATATATATATATATATTCATTCATTTATATATATATTCTGTCAAAAAAAAAAATTATATTATTTTTATTTATATATATATATATATATATATATATATATATTTTTTTTTTTTTTTCTTTTATTATTTTAAATATATATTTTTTTTTATATATATATATATATATATATATATATATATATATACATATATATGTATAGAAGTAAATTTTTTATTTTATTTTTAACAATTAATAATAAATTTACTTTGTGAAATACTACACTATGGGTATCATTTTTTGCTCTGCACCGAGCCCTTAGTCCCCCAGGATCCCCAGGTGACCATCCCGAGGTCCAGTGGAGAGAAATCCATAGCAGACCCTCATCGCAGCTCTAACCATTAATTGGACCTGTAGAAGTCATATTCCATCGCCATTATCCACGGGAGAGGTTATCCACTCCAGGCTGCATCTTTTCCAGGACAGAGGGGCCTCTGGCTCATTTAATATAAATGCGCATTTATATTGCGCCTCTGGTGAGTGTGCAATCTTATCCTTTTCCCTGCTCGTCACCGGATCACGTGTTACTGGGAGTAGTGAAGTCACCCAAGCAGAATATTTTTTCTTGTATCATCATCACTCCCAGCACTTATATTGAACATTAATTGATGTTTCTGTTTGTTTACATGGGATATATATCACTTACCCCACGCTGGGTGCGGACATTATCTGTATGTCGTATTTTCTGATATTACATGTTCATTTTAGAAGGTTATATGGTTTCCTTTTCAGTGTCCTCGCTGCTTTCACCTTTAAGCGCTCGCTGAACCCCGTTTTATATTCTTGTGGATTTGGTTGTCGTTATAAATAAGATACAATTTTTTTTATTCCAAATTCTTGATCTCGCTCTCTTGACGTTGTAGGGCCTCTTCTCTGGGCTGGGCAGTGCATACAGACGCAGGATGATGACATCAGTCCCACTCTTCGTCATCAGTATGGTGTATCACTCGTCCTGCCCTTCCTTGTCCTGCTAGTAGTTCCAGACCCATCCTGCCCTTCCTTGTCCTGCTAGTTCCAGACCCATCCTGCCCTTCCTTGTCCTGCTAGTTCCAGACTCATCCTGCCCTTCCTTGTCCTGCTAGTTCCAGACTCGTCCTGCCCTTCCTTGTCCTGCTAGTTCCAGACCCATGATGCCCTTCCTTGTCCTGCTAGTTCAAGACTCGTCCTGCCCTTCCTTGTCCTGCTAGTTCCAGACCCATCCTGCCCTTCCTTGTCCTGCTAGTTCCAGACTCGTCCTGCCCTTCCTTGTCCTGCTAGTTCCAGACCCATGATGCCCTTCCTTGTCCTGCTAGTTCAAGACTCGTCCTGCCCTTCCTTGTCCTGCTAGTTCCAGACCCATCCTGCCCTTCCTTGTCCTGCTAGTTCCAGACTCGTCCTGCCCTTCCTTGTCCTGCTAGTTCCAGACTCATCCTGCCCTTCCTTGTCCTGCTAGTTCTAGACTCATCCTGCCTTTCCTTGTTCTGCCAGTTCCAGACCCATGCTGCCCTTCCTTGTCCTGCTAGTTCCAGATCCATGTTGCCCTTCCTTGCCCTGCTAGTTCCAGATCCATGCTGCCCTTCCTTGCCCTGCTAGTTCCAGACCCATCCTGCCCTTCCTTGTTCTGCCAGTTCCAGACCCATGCTGCCCTTCCTTGTTCTGCCAGTTCCAGACCCATCCTGCTATTCCTTGTCCTGCTAGTTCCAGACCCATCCTGCTCTTCCTTGTCCTGCTAGTTCCAGACCCATCCTGCTCTTCCTTGTCCTGCTAGTTCCAGACCCATCCTGCTCTTCCTTGTTCTGCCAGTTCCAGACCCATCCTGCTCTTTCTTGTTCTGCAAGTTCCAGACCCATCCTGCTCTTCCTTGTTCTGCCAGTTCCAGGCCCATCCTGCTCTTCCTTGTCCTGCTAGTTCCAGACCCATCCTGCTCTTCCTTGTCCTGCTAGTTCCAGACCCATCCTGCTCTTCCTTGTCCTGCTAGTTCTAGACCCATCCTGCTCTTCCTTGTCCTGCTAGTTCCAGACCCATGCTGCTCTTCCTTGTCGTGCTAGTTCCAGATCCATGCTGTCCTTCCTTGTCCTGCTAGTTCCAGACCCATGCTGCCCTTCCTTGTTCTGCCAGTTCCAGACCCATGCTGCCCTTCCTTGTCCTGCTAGTTCCAGATCCATGCTGCCCTTCCTTGCCCTGCTAGTTCTAGATCCATGCTGCCCTTCCTTGCCCTGCTAGTTCCAGATCCATGCTGCCCTTCCTTGTTCTGCCAGTTCCAGACCCATGCTGCCCTTCCATGTTCTGCCAGTTCCAGACCCATCCTGCTCTTCCTTGTCCTGCTAGTTCCAGACCCATTCTGCTCTTCCTTGTTCTGCCAGTTCCAGACCCATGCTGCCCTTCCTTGTTCTGCCAGTTCCAGACCCATCCTGCTCTTCCTTGTCCTGCTAGTTCCAGACCCATCCTGCTCTTCCTTGTCCTGCTAGCTCCAGATCCATCCTGCTCTTCCTTGTCCTGCTAGTTCCAGACCCATCCTGCTCTTCCTTGTTCTGCCAGTTCCAGACCCATCCTGCTCTTCCTTGTCCTGCCAGTTCCAGACCCATCCTGCTCTTCCTTGCTCCTCTAATTCCAAAGGAGAACACATCAGGGAAGTGTCACAATGTATCTGGGGCTTTGTAATTATTGCAGCAACTGGACAACATCCTAAGATATCTGACCACAGTAGTCCTGTTGCTTCTGACCATGTAAGAAACCTAGCGATATTTGACCACCATAGTCCCTCAGTGATATTTAACTATCGTAGTCCCCTAGTGATATCTGACCACAGTAGTCCCCTAGTGATATCTGACCATGGTAGTCCCCTAGTGATATCTGACCACGGTAGTCCCCTAGTGATATCTGACCATGGTAGTCCCCTAGTGATATCTGACCATCGTAGTCCCCTAGTGACATCTGACCACAGTAGTCCCCTAGTGATATCTGATCACAGTAGTCCCCTAGTGATATCTGTCCACAGTAGTCCCCTAGTGATATCTTACCATGGTAGTCCTCTAGTAATATCTGACCACAGTAGTCCCCTAGTGATATCTGACCACGGTAGTCCCCTAGTGATATCTGACCACAGTAGTCCCCTAGTGATATCTGACCACAGTAGTCCCCTAGTGATATCTGTCCACAGTAGTCCCCTAGTGATATCTGACCATCGTAGTCCCCTAGTGATATCTGACCGTGGTAGTCCTCTAGTAATATCTGACCACGGTAGTCCCCTAGTGATATCTGACCACAGTAGTCCTCTAGTGATATCTGACCACAGTAGTCCTGTTGCTTCTGACCATGTAAGAAACCTAGCGATATTTGACCACCATAGTCCCTCAGTGATATTTAACTATCGTAGTCCCCTAGTGATATCTGACCACAGTAGTCCCCTAGTGATATCTGACCACCATAGTCCTCTAGTGATTTCTGACCACAGTAGTCCCTTTGTGATATCTGACCATGGTAGTCCCTTAGTGATATCTGACCACAGTAGTCCCCTAGTGATATCTGACCACAGTAGTCCCCTAGTGATATCTGACCACAGTAGTCCCCTAGTGATATCTGACCACAGTAGTCCTCTGGCGATATCTGACCATGGTAGTCCTCTAGTAATATCTGACCACAGTAGTCCCCTAGTGATATCTGACCACGGTAGTCCTCTGGCAATATCTGACCACTGTAGTCCTCTGGCGATATCTGACCACAGTAGTCCCCTAGTGATATCTGACCATGTTAGTCCTCTGGCGATATCTGACCACAGTAGTCCCCTAGTGATATCTGACCATGTTAGTCCTCTGGCGATATCTGACCACAGTAGTCCCCTAGTGATATCTGACCATGTTAGTCCTCTGGCAATATCTGACCACAGTAGTCCTCTGGTGATATCTGACCACGGTAGTCCTCTGGTGATATCTGACCACAGTAGTCCTCTGGTGATATCTGACCACAGTAGTCTCCCAATGATATAAACGGGCTACCGTGGCATTTTTGCAGTTTCTCGAGAGCCAGACTTTTGTGAATAATAATCTACCCCATTAGACATGAAAAAAAAACGAATAACCAGTCTAAAGCCATTTTTGTGCCTACAAGATATGATCAGTCCTTTATTTTCACAGTTTTAGTAATACATCGAACATTTCGAAACGGACTAAAAAATAAAAACAAGAAACAAAGAGACAAGTTGCGATTCTAGTAGACCTCGGTAAGGAAGCGGGGGTGGGGTGGTGACGTTCTTGCAGATAACGACCACGATGATTCGGAATAATGTCGTCAGCTCGCCTCCTCCTTGTCCTCCTCGTCGTCTTGCTCTCCCTGTAGCTTTTGGCGAGCGAACTCCTCGATCACCACGTCCTCCGCACTGCGAGTATCAGGAGAGGTCCGTTACAGAACACATTCTCATACAGTTGACTACTGAGGCCGGATTCACGGTGTCGCAATGAGTTCACGCGTGTTCCCTCTCTCCGAACTGACGTGTCGGAGCTCAGACGGGTCAGCGGACTCTTTCCTTGTCCCCATGTGACAGCTCTGGGCCAATCACGAGGCATCTAGGATCCTCATGGGAGAGGATCCTAGACCCACCCGCCATATTGTTTAGCAAGGATGGAGATGCCACCATTCCCACCATCCCCATCATCTGATCATTGGATTATGAAGGAACCTCGTCACGATGATGAGGTCAACACTCTACTCTTCTCCATCCATTGGGTAGCGTGTTGCACCCTCACCATGGGTCCATATCACGTCATAATGAGTACAAGTGCGAGGTTCCAGAGCCTCTCAGGACTCCTTTGGGAAGCATGTGTGGTCACTCGTGTCGTCGCATGACTGATGAAGGGGTCCTGCAAGGCCCTGAAATGTCACCCTTGTACTTTTTTGTGATCACATTCATAAATTCTTGGAAAAATGGCAGAAAAAACTATAACAATACAATATATAACTTTGTACTTTCCTAGTTCCAGACCCATCTAGCCCTCCTCTGCCTTGGTGGTTCCAGACCCATCCTGCCCTCCCCTGCCTTGGTGGTTCCAGACCCATCCTGCCCTCCCCTGCCTTGGTGGTTCCAGATCCATCCTGCCCTCCTCTGTCTTGGTGGTTCCAGACCCATCCTGCCCTCCTCTGCCTTGGTGGTTCCAGACCCATCCTGCCTTCCTCTGCCTTGGTAGTTCCAGATCCATCCTGCCCTCCTCTGCCTTGGTGGTTCCAGACCCATCCTGCCCTCTTCTGCCTTGGTGGTTCCAGATCCATCCTGCCCTCTCCTGCCTTGGTAGTTCCAGATCCATCCTGCCCTCCTCTACCTTGGTGGTTCCAGATCCATCCTGCCCTCCTCTGCCTTGGTAGTTCCAGATCCATCCTGCCCTCCTCTACCTTAGTAGTTACAGACCCATCCTGCCCTCCTCTGCCTTGGTGGTTCCAGACCCATCCTGCCCTCCTCTGCCTTGGTGGTTCCAGACCCATCCTGCCTTCCTCTGCCTTGGTTCCAGACCCATCCTGCCCTCCTCTGCCTTGGTGGTTCAAGACCCATCCTGCCCTCCTCTGCCTTGGTGGTTTCAGACCCATCCTGCCCTCCTCTGCCTTGGTGGTTCCAGATCCATCCTGCCCTCCTCTGCCTTGGTGGTTCCAGACCATCCTGCCTTCCTCTGCCTTGGTGGTTCCAGACCCATCCTGCCTTCCTCTGCCTTGGTGGTTCCAGATCCATCCTGCCCTCCTCTGCCTTGGTGGTTCCAGATCCATCCTGCCCTCCTCTGCCTTGGTGGTTCCAGACCCATCCTGCCTTCCTTTGCCTTGGTGGTTCCAGATCCATCCTGCCCTCCTCTACCTTGGTGGCTCCAGATCCATCCTGCCCTCCTCTGCCTTGGTGGTTCCAGATCCATCCTGCCCTCCTCTGCCTTGGTAGTTCCACACCCATCCTGCCCTCCTCTGCCCTTCTGATTCCAGATCCATCCTGCCCTCCTCTGCCCTTCCAGTTCCAGACCCATCCTGCCCTCCTCTGTCTTGGTGGTTCCAGACCCATCCTGCCCTTCCTCTGCCTTGGTGGTTCCAGACCCATCCTGCCCTTCCTCTGCCTTGGTGGTTCCAGACCCATCCTGCCCTCCTCTGTCTTGGTATTTCCACACCCATCCTGCCCTTCCTTGCCCTTCTGATTCCAGATCCATCCTGCCCTTCCTTGCCCTTCCAGCTCCACACCTATCCCGCCCTTCTTGTATATGGACCGCCCCCCCAGAAATGTCATTTCCTGCCTGTGTGATTGGCTGCACTAATATACAAGTCAGATTTTTGGGCATCCCCTGCAACAAAAAATGTCATTTCTGCTGAGATCCTCCCAAAGTGAAATCACATGTAAAGGAATGCAGACCCTGCCGCTTTCCTCATGAGAGCCCAGCAAGGTGCAGCAGCTGATCGATTGTTCTAATTTTCCTGTTTTTTTGTAACATTCCGTGAAAACTAATAAAGACGGAATGCAAAAAACAAAAAAAAAAAACCTGTGGGTGCAGGGCCCCCCCCCCCCCCCCCCCCCCCCCGCCCCCCCCCCCTTATACATACCTCAGCCCCATCTCGATCCAGCGCTGTGCATGAGAGCAGTGGCTCTCCCGGGGCTCTCTCCTGGTTGGCTCACACAGCAGCAGGAGCCAGTGAGGAGAGAGCGGTGGGGGGGCAGGGCTGTATGTGAATGGAAAACGCCTGCTTGAGTGCCCCCATAGCAAGAGGCTTGCTGTTGGGGGCCCTCAGTAGTGGAGGGGAGGAGCCAAGACCGCCAACAAGGGGCCCAAAAAAGAAGAGGATGGGGGATGCTCTGTGTAATGCCATTGCACAGAGCAGGTAAGTGTAGACGTGCTTGTTGGTTTTTGATCAGGGGCGGACTGACAACTCATGGGGCCCCCGAGCAATAGGGGATCATGGGGCCCCTGGGGTCCTTGCCCAAACTCAAAAAAGCCTATGAAAAGGTACCAGGGGCATCTCATGGGGCCCCCTACTGACCCCGGGGCCCTTGGGCAGTGCCCGAGTTTCCAAGTGGTCAGTCCGCCCCTGTTTTCGATCATTTTTTTAATCACAACTTGTAGAATCGCTTTCAGATCCCTGCAATGTACATCGATCGATCGACCAATCAATCGTCAGCAGCCACACGGACCAACCAATTTATAAAAACCACGAGACAATCACGTCTGTGTATAAAGATCCTACCTGGTTGTGCCTGGAGGGTCCAAGGTGGAGGAAAAACGAGAAAAAAGAAGGAGTTACTGAAGTTGCTCAATATATGTGAGTGATGATGTCACTGCGTCAGTATATAGAGGAGTCATCCCGTCCAATCGTCTGTCTCCTCGGAGAACCGACGGATCCGGGGGCGAGGGGGGAGGGCCATCTACGAGTGATGATGTCACTGCATCAGTATATAGAGGAGTTTCCGTCCAATCGCCTGTGTCCTCGGAGAACCGACGGATCCGGGGGCGAGGGGGAGGGGGAGTGATGATGGGCCATCTACGAGTGATGATGTCACTGCGTCAGTATATAGAGGAGTCATCCCGTCCAATCGCCTGTGTCCTCGGAGAAACAACGGATCCGGGGGCGAGGGGGAGGGACCATCTACGAGTGATGATGTCACTGTGTCAGTATATAGAGGAGTATCTGTCCAATCGTCTGTGTCCTCGGAGAAACAACGGATCCGGGGGCGAGGGAGAGGGGCGATCTACGAGTGATGATGTCACTGTGTCAGTATATAGAGGAGTCATCCCGTCCAATCGTCTGTGTCCTCGGAGAAACGACGAATCCGGGGGCGAGGGGGAGGGGCGATCTACGAGTGATGATGTCACTGCATCAGTATATAGAGGAGTCATCCCGTCCAATCGTCTGTGTCCTCGGAGAAATTTTCCCCGGGGTCTTTTTCGATCGCGACTCGCGTCGCCACGGCACAATTCACGATTTTTTTGTAAAGTATTTTAGTCTTTTCTAATCTATTCTATTCTTATGTTATTCTAATGTATTCTGTTCTAATTCACATTCGTTCTATTCAACTATTCGAGTTTCGGGAGGCAGTTATATTCTTTCTGAGTTATTCTGTTCTATTGTTTCTCTATTCTGATCTTTTCTATTCTATTCTTTGATTTTCGATTCTATTCTAATTTATTCTATTCTATTCCTGTATTTTCTATTCTATTCTTTTCTATTCTATTCCTTTATTTTCTGTTCTATTTTGCTCTGTTTTATTCTATTATTTTCTATTCTATTCTAATTGATTCTATACTATTCCTGTATTTTATATTCTATTCTTTGATTTTCTATTCTTTTCTATTCTATTCCTTTATTTTCTGTTCTGTTTTTGCTCTGTTTTTTACCTTATTATTTTCTATTCTATTCGTTGATTCTCTATTCTAATCTTTTCTATTCTATTCTTTGATTTTTCTATTCTATTCTAATCGATTCTATTCCTTTATTTTCGGTTCTACTTTGTTCTGTTTTACTCTGTAATTTTCTATTCTATTCTTTGATTCTCTGTTCTAATCTTTTCTATTCTATTCTATTCATTTATTTTCTGTTCTCTTTTGCTGTGCTTTGCGCTATTATTTTCTATTCTATTCTTTGATTTTCTGTTCTAATCTTTTCTATGCTAGTCTAATGGATTCTATTCTTTTTCTATTTCTTTATTTTCTATTCAAATTTATTCTATTCTATTCCTTTATTTTCTATTATATTCTAATTGATTCAATTTATTCCTTTATTTTCTGTTCTATTTTGTTCTGTTTTACTCTATTATTTTCTATTCTATTCATTGGTTCTCTTTTCTAATCTTTTCTATTCTATTCCTTTATTTTCTATTCTGTTCTAATTTATTCTATTCTATTCATTTATTTTCTGTTCTAATTTGCTGTGTTTTGCGCTATTATTTTCTATTCTATTCTTTGATTTTCTGTTCTAATCTTTTCTATGCTAGTGTAATGGATTCTATTCTTTTTCTATTTCTTTATTTTCTATTCTATTCTAATTGCTTCTATTCTATTCCTTTATTTTCTGTTCTATTTTGCTCTGTTTTACTCTATTCTTTTCTATTCTATTCTTTGATTCTCTATTCTAATATTTTCTATTCTATTCTAATTTATTCAAATCTTTGATTTTTTATTCTATTCTATTCTAATTGATTTGATTCTATTCCTTTATTTTCTGTTCTGCTTTGCTCTGTTTTACTCTATTATTTTCTATTCTATTCGTTGATTCTCTATTCTAATCTTTTCTATTCTATTCGTTGATTCTCTATTCTAATCTTTTCTATTCTATTCGTTGATTTTTCTATTCTTTTCTCTTCTAATCGATTCTATTCCTTTATTTTCTGTTCTACTTTGTTCTGTTTTACTCTATTCTTTTCTATTCTATTCTTTGATTTTCTGTTCTAATCTTTTCTATGCTGTTCTAATGGATTCTATTCTTTTCTATTTCTTTATTTTCTGTTGTATTTTATTCTAGTCTTATTTTCGAATCAATTTGAATTTCGTTTCGTTATTTCATATTCGTTTAAATTCGTTACTGTTGTCATTTGGATTCATCCGAATCTCCGATTAACGGAAAATTAGTCCAGAATGAAAGGAACTGCACATGTCTGCGATCTACTAAAGGCACCGAGCGTGTTCGCTTGTTACATATGTTAGCAGATAAGGTAAAAAAGAAAATAAAAAAAGTAAAAAAGAAGATTTGTGGTGAACTGTGGCCGTGCGAGAGGGATCAACGCAAACGTCAGCTGTACGTTGTGCGTCCGCGGTGTACATTCCAGACCACCCGTCACATCCTCATGCGGACTCACCTTCAGCAGGCTTGGGATGCATCAGAACCAGTGGCAGCTCCACTGATACATCACTGAAAAAAAAAAAAGATAATAAAAAGATAAAATAATAAAATAAAATAATAAAAATGTGCAAATGCCCCTCCCCCCCACCGGCGCCCCCTGCTGCTCTTTCTGCATATCTGTTTTATCCGCATCTCAGCCTTTTTATGTTTTTTAAATATATTTTTCATATATTTTTGTAATATATATATATATATATATATATATATATATATAAAATATACTGCATTCTTCAGATTTTTTTTAACATATAAAAAATCTATTTGAACCTATATTTTTACATATATTTGTAAATGCATACTAAAAATGTAAATTTGTATTTTTAAAGATATACAGTATACTTGAAAAATGTATTTTTATAAAATATTTTCATATATTTAGTATATATATATATATATATATATATATATATATATATATACTGCACTTTGAAATGCATTTTTTATATATTACAAAATGTATAAAAAATATTTTTAAAAAATATATTTTTTTAAAATATATCCTTCAGATTTTTTTTAACATATAAATAAGTAATTTTAACATTTTTTTTACATATATTTGTACATGCATACCAAAAATTTAAATTTGTATTTTTAAAGAGATACAGTATATTTGAAAAATGTGCTTTTAAAAATATTTTTTCAGATATTCTGTAATATATACTGCATTTTGAAATGCGTTTTTATGTATTATAAAATATATGAAAAAATATATTTTTTAAATATACTCTTCAGATGTTTTATTAACATATAAAAAAGTCATTTTAATATTTTTTTTCACATACATTTGTAAATGCATACCTAAAATTTCAATTTGTATTTTTAAAGACATACAGTATATTTGAAAAATGTGTTTTTAAAAATATTTTTCAGATATTTTGTAATATATATATATATATATATATATATATATATATACATACTGCACTTTGAAATGCATTTTTTTTATATATTACAAAATATATGAAAAATATTTTTAAAAATATATTTTTTAAATATATTCTTCAGATTTTTTTTTAACATATAAGAAAGTAATTTTAACATTTTTTTTTACATATATTTGTAAATGCATACTAAAGATGTAAATTTGTATTTTTAAAGATATACAGTATACTTGAAAAATGTATTTTTAAAAATATTTTTTTTTTCTTATACTTTGTAATATATATACTGCATTTTGAAATGCGTTTTTATATATTATAAAATATATGAAAAAAATATATTTTTTAAATATATTCTTCAGATACTTTATTAACATATAAAGAAGTCATTTTAAAATTTTGTTTCACATAAATTTGTAAATGCATACCAAAAATTTAAATTTGTATTTTTAAAGACATACAGTATATTTGAAAAATGTGTTTTTAAAAATATTTTTCAGATATTTTGTAAAATATATATATATATATATATATATATATATATATATATATATATACACACACATATATATATATACTGCACTTTGAAATGCATTTTTTTTTATATATTACAAAATATATGAAAAATATTTTTAAAAATATATTTTTTTTAAATATATTCTTCAGATTTTGTTTTAACATATAAAAAAGTAATTTTAACATTTTTTTTACATATACTTGTACATGCATACCAAAAATGTAAATTTGTATTTTTAAAGATATACAGTATATTTGAAAAATGTGTTTTTAAAAATATTTTTCTTATATTTTGTAATATATATACTGCATTTTGAAATGCGTTGTTATGTATTATAAAATATATGAAAAATATATATTTTTTAAATATACTCTTCAGATGTTTTATTAACATATAAAAAAGTCATTTTAACATTTTTTTTCTTTATACAGTATATTTGAAAAATGTGTTTTTAAAAATATTTTTCAGATATTTTGTAATATATATATATATATACATACTGCACTTTGAAATGCATTTTTTTATATATTACAAAATATATGAAAAAATATATATTTTTTAAATATATTCTTCAGATACTTTATTAACATATAAAAAAGTCATTTTAACATTTTTTTTCACATAAATTTGTAAATGCATACCAAAAATTTAAATTTGTATTATTAAAGACATACAGTATTCTTGAAAAATGTGTTTTTAAAAATATTTTTCAGATATTTAGTAAAATATATTTTTAATATATATACAAATTATATATTTTTTAAATATATTCTTCACATTTTTTTTAACATATACAAATATATGTTAAAATGACTTTTTTATATTTGTAAATGCATTCCAAAAATTGTAGATTTGTATTTTTTTTTTTGAATGTTGAAATGTTTTTTACAACACAGATGAAAAATATTTTTAAAAATACATTTTCAAATATACTGTATGTCTTTAAAAATACAAATCTACATTTTTTGGAATGCATTTACAAATATATGTTAAAATGACTTTTTTTTTTTCTACGTTAAAAACAATCTGAAAAATATATTTAACAAAAACATATATTTTTCATATATTGTGTAAATGCATTCCAAAAATGTATTTGTATTGTTAAAGACATACAGTATATTTGAAATGTATTTTTAAAAATATTTTTCATATATTTTGTAATATATATACTGCATTTTGAAATGCGTTTTTTTTTATATATTACAAAATATATGAAAAATATTTTTTTTAACATATAAAAAAGTCATTATAACATATATTTGTAAATGCGTTCCAAAAAATGTAGATTTGTATTTTTACAGACATACAGTATATTTGAAAAATGTGTTTTTAAAAATATTTTTCTCATATTTTGTAATATATATACTGCATTTTGAAATGCGTTTTTATGTATTATAAAATATATGAAAAATATATATTTTTTTAAATATATACATTTCAGATTTTTATTAACATTTTTTTTACATAAATTTGTAAATGCATACCAAAAATTTAAATTTGTATTTTTAAAGACATACAGTATATTTGAAAAATGTTTTTTTTAAAAATATTTTTCTGATATTTTGTAATATATATATATATATATATATATATATATATATATATATATATATACACAGTCATGGCCGAAATTGTTGGCACCCTTGATATTTCTCCAGGAAATCATGTATTTCTCACGAAACGTATTGCATTAACACATGTTTTGCTATACACATGTTTATTCCCTTTGTGTGTATTGGGACAAAACAAAAAAAGGGAGGAAAGAAAGCAAATTCGACATAATGTCACACAAACCTCCAAAAATGGGCTGGACAAAAGTATTGGCACCCTTTCACAACTGCGGATAAATAAGAATGTTACAAGCATGTGATGCTCCTGTAAACTCACCTGGGGCAAGTAACAGGTGTGGGCAATATAGAAATCACACCTGAAAGCAGATAAAAAGGAGAGACGTTCACTTAACCTTTGCATTGTGTGTCTGTCTGTGCCACACTAAGCATGGACAACAGAAAGAGGAGACGAGAACTGTCTGAGGACCTGAGAACCAAAATTGTGGCAAAATATCAACAATCTCAAGGTTACAAGTCCATCTCCAGAGAACTAGATTTGCCTTTGTCCACAGTGCGCAACATTATCAAGAAGTTTGCAACCCATGGCACTGTAGCTAATCTCCCTGGTCGTGGACGGATGAGGAAAATTGATGAAAGATTGCAACGCAGAATAGTCCGGATGGTGGATAAGCAGCCCCAAACATGTTCCAAAGACATTCAAGCTGTCCTGCAGGCTCAGGGAGCATCAGTGTCAGCGCGAACTATCCGTCGACATTTAAATGAAATGAAACGCTATGGCAGGAGACCCAGGAGGACCCCACTGCTGACACAGAGACATAAAAAAGCAAGACTACAGTTTGCCAAAATGTACTTGAGTAAGCCAAAAGCCTTCTGGGAAAACGTCTTGTGGACAGATGAGACCAAGATAGAGCTTTTCGGTAAAGCACATCATTCTACTGTTTACCGAAAACGGAATGAGGCCTACAAAGAACAAAACACAGTACCTACGGTAAAATATGGTGGAGGTTCAATGATGTTTTGGGGTTGTTTTGCTGCCTCTGGCACTGGGTGCCTTGACTGTGTGCAAGGCATCATGAAATCTGAGGATTACCAAAGGATTTTGGGTCGCACTGTAGGGCCCAGTGTCAGAAAGCTGGGTTTGCGTCCAAGATCCTGGGTCTTCCAGCAGGACAATGACCCCAAACATACGTCAAAAAGCACTCAGAAATGGATGGCAAAGAAGCGCTGGAGAGTTCTGAAGTGGCCAGCAATGAGCCCAGATCTAAATCCCATTGAACACCTGTGGAGAGATCTTAAAATTGCTGTTGGGAAAAAGGTGTCCTTCCAATAAGAGAGACCTGGAGCTGTTTGCAAAGGAAGAGTGGTCCAAAATTCCGGGTGAGAGGTGTCAGAAGCTTATTGATGGTTATAGGAAGCGACTGATTTCAGTTATGTTTTCCAAAGGGTGTGCAACCAAATATTAAGTTAAGGGTGCCAATACTTTTGTCCAGCCCATTTTTGGGGTTTTGTGTGACATTATGTCATATTTGCTTTTCTGCCTCTGTTTTATATTTGTTCCAATACATACAAAGGGAATAAACATGTGTATAGCAAAACATGTGTTAATGCAATACCTTTTTTGTGTGAAATACTTGATTTTCAGGAAAAATATCAAGGGTGCCAACAATTTCGGCCATGACTGTATATATATACTGCACTTTGAAATTCATTTTTTTATATATTACAAAATATATGACAAATATTTTTAAAAATATATTTTTTATAAATATATTCTTCAGATTTTTTTAACATATAAAAAATCCATTTTAACATATATTTGTAAATGCGTACCAAAGATGTAAATTTGTATTTTTAAAGATATACAGTATATTTGAAAATGTATTTTTTAAAATATTTTTCATCTGTGTTGTAAAAAAACATTTCAACATGCAAAAAAAAAAAAATACAAATCTACATTTTTTGGAATGCATTTACAAAAATATAAAAGTCATTTTAACATATATTTGTATATGTTAAAAAAAGTGAAGAATATATTTAAAAAATATATATATTTTGTATATATATTAATATATATATGAAAAATATTTTTAAGAATACATTTTTCAAGTATACTGTATGTCTTTAAAAATACAAATCTACATTTTTTAAAACGCATTTACAAATATATGTTAAAATGACTTTTTTATATGTTAAAAAAAATCTGAAGAATATATTTAAAAAAAATATATATTTTTCATATATTTTGTAATATATAAAAAAACGCATTTCAAAATGCAGTATATTACAAAATATATGAAAAAATATATATATTTTTTAAATATATTCTTCAGATTTTTTTTAACATATAAAAAAGTCATTTTAACAATTTTGTAAATGCGTTTTAAAAAATGTAGATTTGTATTTTTAAAGACATACAGTATATTTGAAATGTATTTTTAAAAATATTTTTCATATATTTTGTAATAAAAACGCATTTCAACAAACAGTATTTATAAATATTTATTTTTTTTTATTTTTTTTTTATTTTTATTTATTTAAATATATTTTGAAATATATTGAATATGGCCAAAATTGTTTTCTTCTATATGGGAACTAAAAATGATTGGATCGAAGTCGAACTGTAAACCACGGACCCTCCAATCAATTGTTATAGTGAGCTCTATCCATATCAAGCCTGGCAAGTCAATTCTATCGATCGCTTCTGATCGATCGAACTGAATATCTGCGTTTGTTGTCAGAGAACCGATCGTCACAGAGATCAATGAAATGGTCATTATCAATCTGATCGATCTTGTATCCAATCAATAGCGTCCCGTACGCTTCAATTTCATTTCCTATTATAATTGATGAGGGATTCGTCACCGATCAATATGTGTGTGTGGCCACCGATCGATATGTGTGTGTGGCCACCGATCGATGTGTGTGTGTGTGGTCACCGATCGATGTGTGTGTGTGTGGTCACCGATCGATGTGTGTGTGTGTGTGGTCACCGATCAATATGTGTGTGTGGCCACCGATCGATATGTGTGTGTGTGGTCACCGATCGATGTGTGTGTGTGTGGTCACCGATCGATATGTGTGTGTGGCCACCGATCGATATGTGTGTGTCGCCACCGATCGATATGTGTGTGTGGCCACTGATCGATATGTGTGTGTGTGGTCACCGATCGATATGTGTGTGTGGCCACCGATCGATACGTGTGTGTGGCCACCGATCGATACGTGTGTGTGGCCACCGATCGATATGTGTGTGTGGCCACCGATCGATGTGTGTGTGTGTGGCCACCGATCGATATGTGCGTGTGTGGTCACCGATCGATATGTGTGTGTGTGGTCACCGATCGGTACGTTTGTGTGGCCACCGATCGATGTGTGTGTGTGTGGTCACCGATCGATATGTGTGTGTGTGGTCACCGATCGATATGTATGTGTGTGGCCACCAATCGATATATGTGTGTGTGTGGTCACCGATCGATATGTGTGTGTGTGGTCACCGATCGGTACGTTTGTGTGGCCACCGATCGATGTGTGTGTGTGTGGTCACCGATCGATATGTGTGTGTGTGGCCACCGATCGATGTGTGTGTGTGTGGTCACCGATCGGTACGTGTGTGTGTGGCCACCGATCGATACGTACGTGTGTGTGTGGTCACCGATCGATATGTGTGTGTGTGGCCACCGATCGATATGTGTGTGTGTGGCCACCGATCGATATGTGTGTGTGTGGCCACCGATCGATATGTGTGTGTGTGGTCACCGATCGATATGTGTGTGTGTGGTCACCGATCGATATGTTGTGTGTGTGGTCACCGATCGATATGTGTGTGTGTGGTCACCGATCGATATGTGTGTGTGGTCACCGATCGATATGTGTGTGTGTGGCCACCGATCGATATGTGTGTGTGTGGTCACCGATCGATATGTGTGTGTGGTCACCGATCGATATGTGTGTGTGTGTGGTCACCGATCGATATGTGTGTGTGTGGTCACCGATCGATATGTGTGTGTGTGGCCACCGATCGATATGTGTGTGTGGTCACCGATCGATATGTGTGTGTGTGGCCACCGATCGATATGTGTGTGTGGTCACCGATCGATATGTGTGTGTGTGGTCACCGATCGATATGTGTGTGTGTGGCCACCGATCGATATGTGTGTGTGTGGCCACCGATCGATATGTTTGTGTGTGGTCACCGATCGATATGTGTGTGTGGTCACCGATCGATATGTGTGTGTGGTCACCGATCGATATGTGTGTGTGTGGCCACCGATCGATATGTGTGTGTGGCCACCGATCGATATGTGTGTGTGGTCACCGATCGATATGTGTGTGTGGCCACCGATCGATATGTGTGTGTGTGGTCACCGATCGATATGTGTGTGTGGCCACCGATCGATATGTGTGTGTGGCCACCGATCGATATGTGTGTGTGGCCACCGATCGATACGTGTGTGTGTGGCTCACCGATCCCTACTCAGGTATGTTCCTCCTGTGCACTTACCTGGATATAAGGTCTCCCAGAATGCTGGAGAAGAAAAGAAAAAGAAGTCATGTTGGAGGTCACACAGAGGGGGCGCCAATCGTTTTTTATAACGATCGATGTATTGTGAGCGGCTTTATGTTGGCAAAACATACTTACACTTGCGGTTAAAAAAAAAAAAGGCAGTTGTGCTGCATTTTTACCGCCCCCCCTTTGAACATGATTTCCTATGGACAGGTTCGCATCTCCGCGTTTTCGTTCCGGTGCGTTTTTTGGGAAAGGGGGCGGGGACTTTTTTTAAATGCCAAACTTTGCGTTTTTGGAAAAAAAAAAAAAAAATGCTAAACGCATCTAAAACATGGCATGCAGTCTCTCTACAACTGCACGCATGGCTCGACCCAGACTCACCGACCACGCATGGCTCGACCCGACCCGCACATGGCTCGACCCAGAGCTCCGACCGCACGCATGGCTCGACCCAGCACTCACCGACCGCACGCATGGCTCGACCCAGCACTCACCGACCGCACGCATGGCTCGACCCGGAGCCCAGCACATGGCTCGACCCAGAGCTCACCGACCGCACGCATGGCTCGACCCGACGCTCTCCAACTGCATGCATGGCTCAACCCGGAGCTCACCGACCGCACGCATGGCTCAACCCGGAGCTCGCCGACCGCACGCATGGCACGACCCAGCACTCACCAAGCACACGCATGGCTCAACCCAGCACTCACCAACCACATGCATGACTCGAACTGGTGCTCGCCGACCGCACGCATGGCTTGACTCAGCACTCACCAACTGCACGCATGGCTCAACCCAGAGCTCTCCAACTGCATGCATGGCTCGACCCAGAGCTCGCCGACCACACGCATGGCTCGACCTGGAGCTCGCCGACCGCATGCATGGCTCGACCTGGAGCTCGCCGACCGCACGCATGGCTCGACCCAGAGCTCACCAACGACTGCATGTATGGCTGACCCAGCGCTCACCAACCACACGCATGTCTTGAACCGGCTCGCTCAGCGACCGCACGCATGGCTCAACCCTGGAGCTCACCGACCGCACGCATGGCTCAACCCGACACTCGCTGACCGCATACATGGCCTGGATTGTACAATGAGGACGATGTGACCTCATCTTCTGGGAAATGGCGCCCAGCAGGTCGGGGGGCACACAGGATTTTCGGTCTCACCAACTCACCCGCCTCGGGATGCCATCAAGTTCACGCGGACTTTGTAGGACACCAGAATCCCCAGCACCTCCTTGTCCATCCCCGGGCGCAGGCTGCGGGCAAAAGGGGGTGGAGTTATTCAAATGGCATTTCATATTTTATACTCGTTTGATGATTGAAGTAAACCTGCGGCCGGCCAATGAAGGGGCACATGATGATGGGAAGGAACCAATCCTCACTGACCGCAGGGGAGTCATGAAACAGGAGGAGCTGAGCTGCTGAGTCACTGCTGGGGGTGGGAGCTGGGTGGTCTGAGTCACTGCTGGGGGGGAGCTGAGCTGCTGAGTCACTGCTGGGGGGGGGGGAGCTGGGTGGTCTGAGTCACTGCTGGGGGGGAGCTGAGCTGCTGAGTCACTGCTGGGGGGGGGGAGCTGGGTGGTTTGAGTCACTGCTGGGGGGGGGGGGGCTGGGTGGTCTGAGTCACTGCTGGGGGGGGGGGGAGTGAAGGTGGGTGGTCTGAGTCACTGCTGGGAGGGGGAGATGAGCTGCTGTGTCACTGCTGGGAGGGGAGCTGGGTGGTCTGAGTCACTGCTGGGGGGGAGCTGGGTGGTCTGAGTCACTGCTGGGGGGGAGCTGAGCTGCTGAGTCACTGCTGGGGGGGGGCGCTGGGTGGTTTGAGTCACTGCTGGGGGGGGGGGCTGGGTGGTCTGAGTCACTGCTGGGGGGGGGGAGTGGGTGGTGGGTGGTCTGAGTCACTGCTGGGGGGGAGATGAGCTGCTGTGTCACTGCTGGGAGGGGAGTGGGTGGTCTGAGTCACTGCTGGGGGGGAGCTGGGTGGTCTGAGTCACTGCTGGGGGGGAGGGAGCTGGGTGGTCTGAGTCACTGCTGGGGGGGTGGGTGAAGGTGGGTGGTCTGAGTTACTGCTGGGAGGGGGAGCTGAGTTGCTGAGTCACTGCTGGGAGGGGGAGCTGAGCTGCTGAATCACTGCTGGGGGGGGTGAAGCTGGGTGGTCTGAGTCACTGCGGGAGGGGGAGGGGGGGGGAACTGAGGGGAGTGAGGGTTCCTGACGTTCCTGAGTCACTGCTAGGAGGGGGAACTGAGGGAGTGACGTTCCTGAGTCACTGCTGGAAGTGTAACGTTCTAAGTCTGCTGGAAGTGTAAATCTAAGCTGCTGGAGAATGCAGCAGTGCTTCTGCTGTGAACTTTCAGGATGAATTGGCCCACAGTGCCTGCGGCTACAGAGGTGGTTGAGGATTGTCTCTGTTATGTAAATCCTGGCCACAGGCCGACTTCTAGACAACGTAACCTTGATACGTAGCGGAATGGGATGAAGGGGATGCGGATGGAACTGTTGGAATACAGAAGATGAAGGTATAATTACACCGTGGAGGACGCCAGGTTGGTGTCGCCATGCTTCAGTTTGCCGTCCAGTGCCAGACCGCGCTTCTCCGTATTATCGGCCAACAGGGGGGTCACCTGGTACGACTTGCTGAAGGCGGAATTTGCCGCTACGGTGTCACTGGGGAGAGAGGACAAACGTCATCTACAATGAATACGCCGTACTTCCGGGGGTGAGGGATGGTGGATTGGTGGATTGGACGGAGGGTTTGGCCACGCATTCGGTGTTTTGGACTAACCTTTGCTTTTCATACCCCGCCCCCTCCTGGAAGGTCCCATTGGCGTATTTTGTTTCTTTATATACATACCTTTCCCAAATGTCTGCAGGTCGGTCACGTGATCCGCAAGGTCCCCTCTGGATCTTCTTCAGTAGTGAGCGGGATATCCTTAATGAAATGTGATGAATTTCGCGCTGCACCAGTGCGCTGCTGTGATTCCTCGGGGGCGGGGCTATGAATCCTTGCACTCACAGTAAGTCCTCAGTCTTCTGGATTGAATCGAGGCTCGGCCTCATTCAACCTGGAAGACTGAGGACATCTAGTGGCAGAAAGGAATAACTGCGGGGGAGGACAGCATTGGACAGGAGGTGAGTATTGCAGCCAGATCTGCCTTTTTAACACCTCCAGGGGTATTATTTTTTTAAAACAAAACAAAAAAAATTTCACTTTAAATACTCACTTCATCTCCTCGCTGCAAACAATTTTGGTGTACTTGTCCAGCGAGTAGAGGACGACATCTGTGACCTGCTCCACTGTAAGAACAACCAAAATGTCAGCGAGGAAGGTTATTATTTCATATAGGAGACCAAAGCATGGAAATATACACTATATTGCCCAGAGTATTGGCCCCGCCCTCCCAATCATGTGATTCAGGTGTCAGGTGTTCCAATCCCCTCCATTCATGTGATTCAGGTGTTCCAATCCCCTCCATATCATGTGATTCAGGTGTTCCAATCCCCTCCATATCATGTGATTCAGGTGTTCCAATCCCCTCCATATCATGTGATTCAGGTGTTCCAATCCCCTCCATATCATGTGATTCAGGTGTTCCAATCCCCTTCATATCATGTGATTCAGGTATCCCAATCCCCTCCATATCATGTGATTCAGGTGTTCAATCCCCTCCAAATCATGTGATTCAGGTGTTCCAATCCCCTCCAAATCATGTGATTCAGGTGTTCCAATCCCCTCCAAATCATGTGATTCAGGTGTTCCAATCCCCTCCATATCATGTGATTCAGGTGTTCCAATCCCCTCCATGGACACAGGTGTATACAATCAAGCCCCTAGGCATGCAGACGGCTTCTACAAACATTGGTGAAAGAATGGGTCGCTCTCAGGAGCTCAGTGACTCCAAGCGTGGTCCCGTGATAGGTGGCCACCTGGGCAATAAGTCCATCCGTGACATTTCCTGGCTACTAAATATTCCACGCCAACTGTTAGTGGGATTATAACAAAGTGGAAGCAACTGGGAACAACAGCACTCAGCCACCAAGTGGTAGGCCTCGTCACATGACAGGGCGGGGTCAGCGCATGCTGAAGCGCACAGTGCGCAGAAGTCGCCAACTGTCTGCAGAGTCAATAGCTAAAGACCTCCAAACTTGGTGTGGCCTTCAGATGAGCCCAACAACAGTGCGTAGAGATCTTCATGGAATGGGTTTCCATGGCCGAGCAGCTGCATCCAAGCCTTCCATCACAAGTGCAATGCAAAGCGTCGGATGCCGTGGTGTAAAGCACGCCACCACTGGACTCTAGAGCATGGAGAAGTGTTCTCTGGAGTGACCAATCACGCTTCTCTGTCTGGCAATCCAATGGACGTGTCTGGGTTTGGCGGTTGCCAGGAGAACGGTACTTGCCTGACTGCATTGTGCCAAGTGTAAAGATTGGAGGGGGGATTATGGTGTGGGGTTGTTCCTCAGGGGTTGGGTTTGGCCCCCTAGTTCCAGTGAAGGGACGACATTTTGGACAATTTCATGCCCCCAACTTTGTGGGAAGAGTTTGGGGATGGCCCCTTCCTGTTCCAACATGACTGCCCACCAGTGCAGAAACCAAGGTCCATAAAGACATGGAGGAGCCAGTTTGGGGTGGAGGAACTTGACTGTCCTGCACAGAGTCCTGACCTCAACCCCATAGAACACCTTTGGGATGAATTAGAGCAGAGACTGCGAGCCAGGCCTCCTCCCCCGACATCAGTGCCTGACCTGACAAATGTGCTTCTGGAAGAATGGTCCAACCTTCCTATAGACACCCTCCTAAACCTTGTGGACGGCCTTCCCAGAAGAGTTGGAGCTGTTATAGCTGCAAAGGGCGGGGCCAACTCGATATTGAACCCTACGGGACTAAGACTGGGGGGCCATTAAAGGTCATGTGCATGGAAAGGGCGGGGCCAACTCAATATTGAACCCTACAGACTAAGACTGGGGGGCCATTAAAGGTCATGTGCGTGGAAAGGGCGGGGCCAACTCAATATTGAACCCTACAGACTAAGACTGGGGGGCCATTAAAGGTCATGTGCCCATCACACCTATATGATCTTGTTGGACAACGTATTCCAAAATCATGGCCATTAACATAAAGTTGTCTGTGGTAATAAAATCGTCCACTCTTTATGGAAGGCTTTCCACAAGATGCTGGAGGATGTCTGTGGGAGTTTGTGCTCATATGTGAGGTCAGGTACTAATGGATGAGAAGACCTGGTTCAAAATCCAGAGCTCTGTGCAGGACACTGGATTTCCTCCATGACCTCAAACCTACTGAACGCCTTTGGGACAAGAAGACTTCATCTCAAAAGCATTTTGTAGGGTTAAGGGCAGGTACTGATGTAGGATGAGAAGACTTTATACCAAAGGTCCTCCAAAAGTAGGGTTGAGGTCAGGGCTCTGGGCAGGACACTGATTTCCTCCATGACCTCAAACCTACTGAACACCTTTGGGACAAGAAGACTAACTCCCAAAAGCGTTTTGTAGTCTTAAGGGCAGGTACTGATGTTGGATGAGAAGACCTTATACCAAAGGTCCTCCAAAAGTTGGGTAGAGGTCAAGGCTCTGTGCAGGACACTGGATTTCCTCCATGACCTCAAACCTACTGAACACCTTTGGGACAAGAAGACTTCCTTGCAAAAGCGTTTTGTAGGGTTAAGGGCAGGTACTGATGTTGGATGAGAAGACCTTATACCAAAGGTCCTCCAAAAGTTGGGTTGAGAACAAGGCTTTGTGCAGGACACTTGAGTTACTCCATGACCTCAAACCTGCTGAACACCTTTGGGACAGGAAGACTTCATCCCAAAAGCGTTTTGTAGGGTTAAGGGCAGGTACTGATGTTGGATGAGAAGACCTTATACCAAAGGTCCTCCAAAAGTTGGGTAGAGGTCAAGGCTCTGTGCAGGACACTGGATTTCCTCCATGACCTCAAACCTACTGAACACCTTTGGGACAAGAAGACTTTCTCGCAAAAGCGTTTTGTAGGGTTAAGGGGAGGTACTGATGTTGGATGAGAAGACCTTATACCAAAGGTCCTCCAAAAGTTGGGTTGAGGTCAAAGCTCTGTGGAGGACACTGGAGATCCTCCACACCAAACTGATCATCCATGTCTTTATGGAGCTGGCTTTGTACATGGGGGACAGTCATGGGGGGACAGAAAAGGGTCTTCACCAAACTGTTACCACAAGACTGGAAGAGCAAAATTGTCTCCAATGTCTTTGTATGATGGAGGATCACCAGGACCCTTCACTGGAGACACCTGAGCTCCATCATTTGGAGAATACCTCCTGTCGTTCTATAACCGTACTCCAACGCTTTATTATTGTCAGCTACAATATCGGCAAGTGACCTGCTCTACAAGTTCAGGTTGCTGTGCGGTTCTTTCCTCCTTGGTCACCTACCTGTGATCTTGATCTTTTTCACAATCTTATTGGTTGAGTTATTGATTTTCACGTTGACAGCGATGGGTTCCCCATGATAATGTATCTGTAAAGAAGGGAAGTAGAAGGTTGATACACAACAAGCAGAAGAACGTCAAAACACACGACTCCTGAGGGCAAGCTATATAGACATGGTCAAGGGACATCCAGTATTGTTGACCTAGAGGCCACTTTAGCATGCCCAAAAGGTCTATTTTCTATATTAAGTATGCAAAGGTACGGCGACTGGAGCTGTTATTTGGCGCAACTGAGATTTTTTTCAGTAAACTGTATTAACCCAGATTGGAGCAATTCAGTGATTTAGAAAAACGTATTGAAGGTTCTGGATTGTGGTCCTAAATACTTGAAGGCTCTCCTGGGACACACCCACATGGAAGAAAAATATATTTGAAATACTACAATTTTGGCCGTATTCAATATATAAAACATTTAAAGAGATCACCACACAAGAGAAAAAAAATAAATAAAACATCGCTTAAAGAGAACACCACACAAGAGAGCATCCCTCAAAGAGAGCGCCACGCAAGATAGCATCGCTTTAAGAGAGTGCCACGAAAGACAGCATCACTTAAAGAGGAAACCGCGCAAGAGAGCATCACTTAATGAGAGCGCCACGCAAGAGAGCATCGCTTAAAGAGAGCGCCACGCAAGAGAGCATCACTTAAAGAGAGCACCACGCAAGAGAGCATCGCTTAAAGAGAACACCACGTAAGAGAGCGCCATGCATGAGAGCATCCCTTAAAGAGAGCACCACGCAAAAGAGCATCGCTTAAAGAGAGCGCCACGCAAGAGAGCATCGCTTAAAGAGAGTGCCACGCAAGAGAGAGCATCGCTTAAAGAGAGCGCCACGCAAGAGAGCATCGCTTAAAGAGAACACCACGTAAGAGAGCACCACGCATGAGAGCATCCCTTAAAGAGAACGTCACGCAAGTGAGCATCGCTTAAAGAGAGCACCACACAACAGAGCATCGCTTAAAGAGAGCGCCACGCAAAAGAGAGCATCACTTAAAGAGAACACCACGCAAGAGAGCATCGATTAAAGAGAACACCACGCAAGAGAGCATGATTAAAGAGAACGCCACACAAAAGAGCATAACTTAAAGAGAACACCACGCAAAAGAGCATAACTTAAAGAGAGCGCCACGCATGAGAGCATCACTTAAAGAGAGCGCCACGCAAGAGAGCATCCCTTAAAGAGAACACATAACATAAGAGAGCGCCACGCAAGAGAGCATCACTTAAAGAGAGCGCCACGCAAGAGGCTCATCGGTCTCCATAGATGTTGGAACTTTAGGTCTGTAGGAATAAAACAAGGAACCACAATGACATCACGATACAACCAATCAGAAGAGGGGGGCGTCACCTCCTTGTTCAGGGACGCCTCCAGCTGCAGCGGCTTGTCTGACATCATGAACTGCTTGGTGATGTCGGCATGCGGGGCCGATCCTGTGGTCTCCGGGGCGTACTGAACTTTTCGTATGATGAGGCGCGCCGCGTTCCTGAGGGACACAAAAACATATTCCCATTATCCACAGTCCGCCACGTCTTCCAGGCTCACAGTCGCCGCCATTTGCTGGTCGAAAAAAAAGGGCGACTATGACATCATTAAACACATGTACAAAAAAAATGGAGCAAAGCGTCCCCGCATCGGCTCTAATAGACTCATTCCTGTATCATAGTCGCCATCTAGTGGCCGAAGTGGAGAATCGTTTTCTGAAATACTTCAATAAGGCGTTCCGGCCACTAGATGGCGCCAGTGGTACAGGAATTCGTCTAGAAGTACCAATAGGGGAGCAGGAGAACGAATTTTAGGTGGAAATCTCTGCAGATTCGATGTGCTCCCCTCACCACAAGTCGGCTTTTGTCACTTTGGGGTTTTTTCTTACTTTTTCGAAACTTTTTCTTCGACGTCGTCCCCCCAGAAACCTTTCACCTCGAAATCCACGCCGCAGGCCTGCAAGAGAAGGTCAGAGTTCGATGCGGCAAGTGGAAGAGCATGTGAGGTCAGCAGTCTGCCGCTTCTCCTTTACTGTCCAATCACAGGCTGGGCGGGAGGGGACAGGCCTTTCCTAAGAAGGCTAATAGGAGGGAGAGAGCAGAGTGATGAGCTCATCAGTCTTCTGCTTCTCCTTTACTGTCCAATCAACGCTAGGGGGGAGGGACATGTAGTTCTTTCCTAAGAGGCATGCTAATAGGAGGAGAGAGAAGAGTGATGAGCTCATCAGTCTTCTGCTTCTCCTTTACTGTCCAATCACAGGCTGGGGGAGGGGCAGGTGGTTCTTTCCTAGGAAGCATGCTAATAGGAGGAGAGAGGAGAGCGATGAGTTCATCAGTCTTCTGCTTCTCCTTTACTGTCCAATCACACGCTAGGGGGGAGGGACATGTAGTTCTTTCCTAAGAGGCATGCTAATAGGAGGAGAGAGAAGAGTGATGAGTTCATCAGTCTTCTGCTTCTCCTTTACTGTCCAATCACAGGCTGGGGGGAGGGAGAGAGCAGAGTGAAGAGCTCATCAGTCTGCTGCTTCTCCTTTACTGTCCAATCACAGGCTGGGGGAGGGGCAGGTGGTTCTTTCCTAGGAAGCATGCTCATAGGAGGAGAGAGCAGAGAGATGAGTTCATCAGTCTTCTGAGAGAGAGCAGAGCTGTGGGAACCATTTAGCTCCACCCACTACAGAAACTTACTGGAAGGGGCAGAGACAAGACCAGTCACCCTGCACAAGGAGAGAGAGCAGAGCTGTGGGAGGGGCCCATCAGACCCCACCCACTGCAGGCTGCATGTAGAAAATTACAGGAGGGGGCGGAGACCAGAGCAGTCAGTTTGCACAAGGAGAGGGAGCAGAGATGTGGGAGGGATCCATCAGGCTCCACCCTCTAAAGAAAATTACAGGAGGAGGCGGAGACAAGACCAGTCCCTCGGCACAAGAGAGGGAGCAGAGATGTGGGAGTGGCCCAGCTGGCTCCACCCACTATAGAAAATGACAGGAGGGGGCGGAGACCAGACCAGTCCCCCTGCACAAGGAGAGAGGTCAGCAGTGAGCGGTCTTTATTACAGGAAGTCTCACCCTGGATGACTGCACAGAAATACACAGAGCACCCCGGGGGGGTCCATGTATAACATTCCCCATTGGTAGGAGCATCATCATCATCAGCCCCATCTAGTGGCCAGCGTCTGGTATTTTCCTGAAATATCTCCATAAAATAACATCACATTCTGACCAGTAGATGGAGCCGAGGATCATAGGACAAGCATTGTGATGACTTCCAGGACATGACCTACCTTCCCAGAATCCTCTGGTCCGGGTTGCAGGGTCACAGAACAGGGCAGGTTGGTTGCCATCTGGAAAATGAAGAAATGATTAGGATTGGGGGATGGATGGATTGCCCCTCCCCCTCGGCAGACACAAAGGTCTCCTCACATTGAAGCTGAAGGGGAAGGAGTTGGCCCCGAGCTTGGCCTTCAGCTTCTCCTGGAGTGGGGTCAGCGTCTTCTTCTCCTCCGGCAATGGCGGGGACACTTGGCAGGACTGAACGTAGATGTCCTTCCTGAAGCACAGCCCGATGAGCTCCATGTCATCCCGCCCATAACGGAACGCGCAGGTGAGCGTCACAAACACTGGAGGTTCCGGAGGGAAGAGAAGCAGATTTAGGAGACGAGTGCAAAAAAAAAAACAAGGAAAATCGTTCAAATGAGAAAGAACTGAACCCCTTCCTGCCTGCCCCGGCATCCCTGTAGAAGGTTCTGAATGCCTGGGGGGAGGATCTGTGATCATGTGATCAGCATGATCACAGTGGTCACATGACCGGCCGCCGCATGATGGCAAGCTAGCTACCAATCATTAGCCGGGACAGAGCGGGCGCAGTCTTTGACTATGCTGGTGAGCACAGAGCCATCACCCGTGACACATATGGGTGACATGTGGCAGTTGAAACCGGCCCTTTTCCCACCACCACCACCGCACATGTATGACGCAGGCGGCAACATTCCCTTCCAAGCCACCTCTTGTGTCCACCCACTACCCACCTCCGAGCACCATCCCTTGGTTCCACCTCCGAGCACCATCCCTTGGTTCCACCTCCGAGCACCATCCATTGGTTCCAACCCCCTACCCACCTCCGAGCACATTCCCTTGGTTCCACCTCCGAGCACCATCCATTGGTTCCACCCCCTACCCACCTCCAAGCCCCATCCCTTGGTTCCACCTCCGAGCACCATCCCTTGGTTCCACCTCCGAGCACCATCCCTTGGTTCCACCTCCGAGCAACATCCCTTGGTTCCATGCTCCAAGCACCATCCCTTGATTCCACCTCCGAGCACCATCCCTTGGTTCCACCTCCGAGCACCATCCCTTGGTTCCACCTCTGAGCACCATCCATTGGTTCCACCCCCTACCCACCTCCAAAGCCCCATCCCTTGGTTCCACCCCCTACCCACCTCCAAGCCCCATCCCTTGGTTCCACCCCCTACCCACCTCCAAGCCCCATCCCTTGGTTCCACCCCCCTACCCACCTCCAAGCCCCATCCCTTGGTTCCACCCCCTACCCACCTCCAAACCCCATCCCTTGGTTCCACCCCCTACCCACCTCCAAGCCCCATCCCTTGGTTCCACCCCCTACCCACCTCCAAGCCCCATCCCTTGGTTCCACCTCCAAGTACCATCCCTTGGTTCCACCCCCTACCCACCTCCGAGCCCCACCCTTTTGTTCCACTCCTACCCACCTTCGAGCACCATCCCTTGGTACTCCATTGTTGGTGTCAGTGAGATGAATAGCGCCCCATCATTGGTATCAGTGGGAGGAATAGTGCCCCATCATTGGTGTCAGTGAGAGGAATAGTGCCCCATCATTGGTGTCAGGGGGAGGAATAGCGCCCCATCATTGGTGTCAGTGGAGGAATAGTGCCCCATCATTGGTGTCAGTGGAAGGAATAGTGCCCCATCATTGGTGTCAGTGGGAGGAATAGTGCCCCGTCATAGGTGTCAGTGGGAGGAATAGTGCCCCATCATTGGTATCAGTGGGAGGAATAGTGCCCCATCATTGGTGTCAGTGGGAGGAATAGTGCCCCATCATTGGTGTCAGTGGGAGGAATAGTGCCCCATCATTGGTTGTCAGTAGGAGGAATAGTGCCCCATCATTGGTATCAGTGGGAGGAATAGTGTCCCATCATTGGTGTCAGTGGGAGGAATAGTGCCCAATCATTGGTGTCAGTGGGAGGAATAGTGCCCCATCATTGGTGTCAGTAGGAGGAATAGTGCCCCCATCATTGGTGTCAGTGGGAGGAATAGTGCCCCATCATTGGTGTCAGTGGGAGGAATAGTGCCCCATCATTGGTGTCAGTGGGAGGAATAGTGCCCCATCATTGGTGTCAATGGGAGGAATAGTGCCCCATCATTGGTATCAGTGGGAGGAATAGTGCCCCATCATTGGTGTCAGTGGGAGGAATAGTGCCCCATCATTGGTGTCAGTGGGAGGAATAGTGCCCCATCATTGGTGTCAGTAGGAGGAATAGTGCCCCATCATTGGTATCAGTGGGAGGAATAGTGCCCCATCATTGGTGTCAGTGGGAGGAATAGTGCCCAATCATTGGTGTCAGTGGGAGGAATAGTGCCGCATCATTGGTATCAGTGGGAGGAATAGTGCCCCATCATTGGTGTCAGTGGGAGAAATAGTGCCCCATCATTGGTGTCAGTGGGAGGAATATTGCCCCATCATTGGTGTCAGTGGGAGGAATAGTGCCCCATCATTGGTGTCAGTGGGAGGAATAGTGCCCCATCATTGGTGTCAGTGGGAGGAATAGTGCCCCATCATTGGTGTCAGTGGGAGGAATAGTGCCCCATCATTGGTGTCAGTGGGGAGAATAATACCCTGTTGGTGTCAGTGGATAGAATGGTGCCCAAAGGGCTGGATAAAGGCGAGCAAAGGGCCGCATCCAGCCCCCGGGCCACAGTTTGGAGACCCCTGAGTAGAACCATCACATCCATATCCAATCAGAATTCCTACCACAGACCGACACGCCTTCTTTCACGGGGGGTCCCACGGCTACTCATGGGCCAGGCTTAATGGCAGCGATGGGCTTGGCTTTGTTTAGCAACAAAGCCATGGATCTGGCGGCTCTGGTTTGGGGATCACATGGTTTGGGGATCACATGGTTTGGGGATCACATGGTTTGGGGATCACATGGTTTGGGGATCACATGGTTTTGTTGGAAAACAAAGCCGCGTGATTTTTATCCTGAGCAACTTTCCTCTAAACTTGGGGCTAATTTTGGTGAAATCTTTCATTTCGCTACAAAATCCTCCCCCCTCATCCGACCTATGAGCCCCCCCCGGCATGGCCGTGAGGTTCCAGACGAAGACCCCAGCACGTGTAGCATGTATGAGGTCATGGAGTTCGTTAATCCACCTTAATCTGGATTTAAGTCTGTCCGGTGTAATCCCTGAATGGTAAGCACGCACAGGACCACGGAGGGTCAGCGGGAGGGCAGGAGGAGTGCACTTCCTGATCCCGGGGTCATCTCTCAAAGACACGTTTGACTGATATGATGGTCTGTGGATGAGAAGCAGCAAAGAAAGTGTTCCAGCATCACCAGGAAGTGTGTTCCAGGATCACCAGAAAGTGTTTCAGGATAACCAGGAGGTTTTTTCCAGGATCACCAGGAGCCATGTTGCAAGATCATCAGGAGGGGTGTTTTAGGATTACCAGAAGGTGTTTTCCAGGATCTCCTGGAGGTATTTTCCAGGGTCACCTGGAGGTGTTTTCCAGGATCACCTGGAGGTGGTGTTTTCCAGGGTCACCTGGAGGTGTTTTCCAGGGTCACCTGGAGGTGTTTTCTAGGATCACCTGGAGGTGTTTTCCTGGATCACCTGAAGGTGTTTTCTAGGATCACCTGGAGGTGTTTTCCAGGGTCACCTGGAGGTGTTTTCCAGGATCACCTGAAGGTGTTTTCTAGGATCACCTGGAGGTGTTTTCTGGGATCAACTGGAGGTATTTTCCAGGGTCCCCTGGAGGTGTTTTCCAGGATCTCCTGGAGTGTGTTTTCTAGGATCACCTGGAGGTATTTTCCAGGGTCACCTGGAGGTGTTTTCTAGGATCACCTGGAGGTGTTTTCCAGGGTCACCAGGAGGTGTGTTCTAGCATCACCAGGAAGTATGTTTCAGGATGACCAGAAGGTGTGTTCCAGGACAGGGGTGGACTGACAACTCATGGGGCTGCCGGACAATAGGGTATTATGGGGCCCCTGTGTCCTTGCCAACACTCAAACCACTCCCAAAGAAGCCTATGAAAGGTACCAGGGGCATCTCATGGGGCCCTCTACTGACCATGGGCCCTCGGGCAGTGCCCAAGTGTCTGAATGGTCAGTCCGCCCCTGTTCCAAACCACACTTCTCGTGAACATCACTCGATTTTTCCTTCACACGTCTGGAACAACTCATGGGGCCCCCGGACAATAGGGGATCATGGGGCCCCTGTGTCCTCACCCACACTCAAACCACTCCTAAAAAAGCCTATGAAAGGTACCAGGGGCATCTCATGGGGCCCCCTACTGTTCTAGGATTACCAGAAGGTGTTTTCCAGGGTCACCAGGAGGTGTGTTCTTGGATAACCAGGAAGTACAGTGGGGCAAAAAAGTATTTAGTCCCCACCAATTGTACAAGTTCTCCCACTTACAGAGATGAGAGAGGCCTGTAATTGGCATCATAGGGAGACCTCAACTATGAGAGACAAAATGAGAAAACAAATCCAGACAATCTCATTGGCTGATCTGGAAAGAATTTATTTGCAAATTATGGTGGAAAATAAGTATTTGGTCTCCTACAAACAAGCAAGATTTCTGGCTCTCACAGACCTGGACCTTCTTCTTTAAGAGGCTCCTCTGTCCTGCACTCATTACCTGTATCAATGGCACCTGTTTGAACTTGTTATCAGTATAAAAGACACCTGTCCACAACCTCAAACAGTCACACTCCAAACTCCACTATGGTGAAGACCAAAGAGCTGTCCAAGGACACCAGAAACAAAAATTGTAGACCTGCACCAGGCTGGGAAGACTGAATCTGCAATAGGCAAGCAGCTTGGTGTGAACAAATCAACTGTGGGAGCAATAATTAGAAAATGGAAGACATACAAGACCACTGATAATCTCCCTCCATCTGGGGCTCCACGCAAGATCTCACCCCGTGGGGTCAAAATGATCACAAGAACGGTGAGCAAAAATCCCAGGACCACACGGGGGGACCTAGTGAATGACCTGCAGAGAGCTGGGACCAACGTAACAAAGGCTACCATCAGTAAACACACTACGCCGCCAGGGACTCAGATCCTGCAGTGCCAGACGTGGCCCCCTGCTTAAGCCAGTACATGTCCGGGGCCCGTCTGAAGTTTGCTAGAGAGCATTTGGATGATCCAGAAGAGGATTGGGAGAATGTCATATGGTCAGATGAAACCAAAATAGAACTGTTTGGTAGAAACACAACTCGTCGTGTTTGGAGGAGAGAGAATGCTGAGTTGCATCCAAAGAACACCATACCTACTGTGAAGCATGGGGGTGGCAACATCATGTTTTGGGGCTGTTTTTTCTCCGCAAAGGGACCAGGACGACTGATCCATGTACAGGACAGAATGAATGGGGCCATGTATCGTGAGATTTTGAGTGCAAACCTCCTTCCATCAGCAAGGGCATTGAAGATGAAACGTGGCTGGGTCTTCCAACATGACAATGATCCCAAACATACCGCCCGGGCAACGAAGGAGTGGCTTCGTAAGAAGCATTTCAAGGTCCTGGAGTGGCCTAGCCAGTCTCCAGATCTCAACCCCATAGAAAACCTTTGGAGGGAGTTGAAAGTCCGTGTTGCCCAGCGACAGCCCCAAAACATCACTGCTCTAGAGGAGATCTGCATGGAGGATGGGCCAACATACCAGCAACAGTGTGTGCCAACCTTGTGAAGACTTCCAGGAAACGTCTGACCTCTGTCATTGCCAACAAAGGATATATAACAAAGTATTGACATGAACTTTTCATATTCACCAAATACTTATTTTCCACCATAATTTGCAAATCAATTCTTTCCAGATCAGCCAATGTGATTGTCTGGATTTGTTTTCTCATTTTGTCTCTCATAGTTGAGGTCTCCCTATGATGCCAATTACAGGCCTCTCTCATCTTTGTAAGTGGGAGAACTTGTACAATTGGTGGGGACTAAATACTTTTTTGCCCCACTGTATATTTCAGGATCACCAGAAGCTGTGTTCTAGGATCAACATGAAGTGTGTTCCAGGATCACAAGGAGGTGAGTTCCAGGATCACTGGGAGATGTGTTGCGGGATCACTGGGAGATGTGTTGCGGGATCACCAGGAGGTATATATACTGCATGTTGAAATGTGTTTCATATAAAAAAAATATAAAAAAGTCATATATATTTTTACATATATTTGTTAATGCGTTCCAAAAATGTAGATATATATTTTTGAAGACATACAGTATATTCGAAATGTATTTTTAAAAATATTTTTCAGATATTTTATAATAAAAATGCATTTCAACATGCAGTGCGTATATATATATTTATATATTTTGATATATATTGAATGCGGCCAAAATTGTAGTAATTCAAGTGTAGGTCAATATATTTGGGAAGAATATCTTTCAAATATATTTTTCTCCCATGTGGGCTGTTTTGTATTGTTTGCTTTTTGGATATTCTATTATTATTTTACATAACTCTAGGTTCACATGTATGCGGGCGCAGGACTGCTTGTAAACCGCACCCTTTCCTGAACCCGCATCAAAAACTAATGTTAGCAGACGCGGGGGGGGGGGGTGTGGGTGACATTAATTCTCATTTCCACTCCCACTCATTGCCACCACAGCGTGTTGTCCCGTGATGGGAACTGCATAGCATGATGTGGTGTTCACTTCTCTTCTACATTATATAAAAGAATAGTTTGTGACAATGTACACTATATTGCCCCAAGTATTGTCCCCCCCCCCCATATATACACTATATTGCCCCAAGTATTGTCCCCGCCCCCCCCATATATATACACTATATTGCCCCAAGTATTGTCCCCCGCCCCCCCCATATATACACTATATTGCCCCAAGTATTGGTCGGCCGCCCTTTCCACGCACATGACCTTTAATGGCCCCCCAGTCTTAGTCCGTAGGGTTCAATATTGAGTTGGCCCCGCCCTTTCCACACACATGACCTTTAATGACCCCCCAGTCTTAGTCCGTAGGGTTCAATATTGAGTTGGCCCCGCCCTTTCCACGCACATGACCTTTAATGGCCCCCCAGTCTTAGTCCGTAGGGTTCAATATTGAGTTGGCCCCGCCCTTTGCAGATATAACAGCTTCAACTCTTCTGGGAAGGCCCCCCACAAGGTTTAGGAGGGTGTCTATGGGAAGGTTGGACCATTCTTCCAGAAGCACATTTGTCAGGTCAGGCACTGATGTCGGGGGAGGAGGCCTGGCTCGCAGTCTCCACTCTAATTCATCCCAAAGGTGTTCTATGGGGTTGAGGTCAGGACTCTGTGCAGGACAGTCAAGTTCCTCCACCCCAAACTGGCTCCTCCATGTCTTTATGGACCTTGCTTTGTGCACTGGTGGGCAGTCATGTTGGAACAGGAAGGGGCCATCCCCAAACTCTTCCCACAAAGTTGGGAGCATGAAATTGTCCAAAATGTCACCTTAAGAGTTCCCTTCACTGGAACTAGGGGGCCAAGCCTAACCCCGGAAAACTAACCCCCCACCATAATCCCCCCTCCACCAAACTTTACACTTGGCACAATACAGTCAGGCAAGTACTGTTCTCCTGGCAACCGCCAAACCCAGACACGTCCATGAAATTGCCAGACAGAGAAGCGTGATTGGTCACTCCAGAGAACACGCCTCCCCTGCCCTAGAGTCCAGTGGCGGTGTGCTTTACACCACGGCATCCGACGCTTTGCATTGCACTTGGTGATGGAAGGCTTGGATGCAGCTGCTCGGCCATGGAAACCCATTCCATGAAGCTCTCTACGCACTGTTGTTGGGCTCATCTGAAGGCCACACCAAGTTTGGAGGTCTTTAGCTATTGACTCTGCAGACAGTTGGCGACTTCTGCGCACTGTGCGCTTCAGCATGCGCTGACCCCGCCCTGTCATGTGACGTGGCCTACCACTTGGTGGCTGAGTGGCTGTTGTTCCCAGTTGCTTCCACTTTGTTATAATCCCACTAACAGTTGAGTGTGGAATATTTAGTAGCCAGGAAATGTCAAGGATGGACTTATTGCCCAGATGGCCACCTATCACGGGACCACGCTTGGAGTCACTGAGCTCCTGAGAGCGACCCATTCTTTCACCAATGTTTGTAGAAGCCGTCTGCATGCCAAGGGGCTGGATTGTATACACCTGTGTCCATGGAGGGGATTGGAACACAGGAATCACATGATTGGGAGGGGATTGGAACGCCTGAATCACATGATATGGAGGGCGGGGCCAATACTTTTGGCAATATAGTGTATTTTCCATCTGACCTCCTAATGAAGCTTCCTGTAGAAGTATAGCGCACTCACACTCGGTGTAATTTGGGTAAAAAACTGTTTCATTTTACCTTTCTTCTCCTTTTGGTACTCCGGGTCAATTACAATCATTCCATCTGCAGAAAATAGAAAACATAACGTCAGTCAAAGCTCGGAGAAAGGGTTGGAGAGACATTATTATAAAAGAAAAAATAGCCACTGACCTACTTGCTCTACAAACTCCACGTGGTCCACATAGTCCCGCTTTGCCAGGTAAACGGTTTAGAAGAGGAAAGATAAGGTTTCTCTACGACATAGAACGTCTAGACTATATCATATAGCCAAAGGTCTCTGAACATCTACATGAGCCTGCTGGACATCCCATTCCAAAACCATGGCCATTATTATGGAGCCCCCCCAACCACTGACGTTCCACCCTCTTCCCAGAGTCATTAATATAAAGTTTCCCCCAAGCCCCCGTGGCCATTCATATGGAGTTGCCCCCTTTGTGGCTATACCATCCTCCACTCTTCTGGGAAGACTTTCCACAAGATTTCAGAGGGGGTCTGTGAGAATTTGTGCCCATTTGTGAGGTCGGGTACTGATGTTGATGATGAGAAGACTTGGGTCACCACTGGCATTTCAATTCATCCCAAAGGTGTTCAGGAGGGTTGAGGTCAGGGCTCTGTACAGGACATTGGAGTTCCTCCACACAAAACTGGTCAAACTATGTCTTGTGAAGTTGCCTCCCATCTCCCCATGACCAATATTATGGAGTTGCCCAACCCTTAGTAACTATGACATCCTCTTCTCTGCTGGGAAGACTTTCCACAAGATTTTGGAGGGTGCCTGTGGGGATTTCTTCCTATTTGTGAGGTCAGGTACTGATGCTGGATGAAAAGACCTGAACCACCACTGGTGTTCCAATTCATCCCAAAAGGTGTTCAGTAGGGTGAGGTCAGGGCTCTGTACAGGACACTCGAGTTCCTCCATAACCTCAAACCCACTGAACACCTTTGGGATTAGAAGACTTGATCCCAATGCTGTTCATTAGAGTTGAGGGCAGGTCCTGATGTTGGATGAAAAGACCTTATACCAAAGATCTTCCAAAAGTAGGGTTGAGGTCAGGGCACTGTGCAGGACACTTGAGTTCCTCCATAACCTCAAACGTACTGAACACCCTTGTGATTAGAAGACCATATCCCAAAGGGGTTCAGTAGGACTGAGGGCAGGTACTAATCTTGGATGAGAAAACCTTATGCCAAAGGTCTTCCAAAAGTAGGGTTGAGGTCAGGGCTCTGTGCAGGACTCTCGAGTTCCTCCATGACCTCAAACTTACTGAACACCTTTGGGATTAGAATACCTGATCCCAAAACTGTTCATTAGAGTTGAGGGCAGGTACTGATCTTGGATGAGAAGACCTTATACCAAAGGTCTTCCAAAAGTATGGTTGAGGTCAGGGCTCTGTGCAGGACTCTCGAGTTCCTCCATGACCTCAAACTTACTGAACACCTTTGGGATTAGAAGAGCTGATCCCAAAGCTGTTCATTAGAGTTGAGGGCAGGTCCTGATGTTGGATGAGAAGACCTTATACCAAAGGTCTTCCAAAAAGTAGGGTTGGGGTCAGGGCTCTGTGCAGGACTCTCGAGTTCCTCCATGACCTCAAACCTACTGAACACCTTTGGGATTAGAAGACCTGACACAAAAGCTGTTCAGTAGGGTTGAGGGCAGGTACTGATCTTGGATGAGAAGACCTTATACCAAAGGTCTTCCAAAAGTAGGGTTGAGGTCAGGCTGTTTGCAGGACACTTGAGTTCCTCCATAACCTCAAACGTACTGAACACCCTTGTGATTAGAAGACCATATCCCAAAGGGGTTCAGTAGGACTGAGGGCAGGTACTAATATTGGATGAGAAGACCTTATACAAAAGGTCTTCCAAAAGTATGGTTGAGGTCAGGGCTCTGTGCAGGACTCTTAAGTTCCTCCATGACCTCAAACCTACTGAACACCTTTGGGATTAGAAGACCTGATCCAAAAGTTGTTCAGTAGAGTTGAGGGCAGGTCCTGATCTTGAATGAGAAGACCTTATACAAAAGGTCTTCCAAAAGTAGGGTTTGAGGTCAGGGCTCTGTGCGGGACTCTCAAGTTCCTCCATGACCTCAAACCTACTGACTGAACACCCTTTAGGATAAGAAGACCTGATCCCAAAGCTGTTGTTCAGTAGGGTTGAGGGCAGGTCCTGATGTTGGATGAGAAGACCTTATACCAAAGGTCTTCCAAAAGTAGCGTTGAGGTCAGGGCTCTGTGCAGGACACTTGAGTTCCTCCATAACCTCAAACCTGTACTGAACAACCCTTGTGATTAGAAGACCTCATCCCAAAAGGGTTCAGTAGGACTGAGGGCAGGTACTGATCTGGATGAGATTATACCTAAGGTCTTCCAAAAGTAGGGTTGAGGTCAGGGCACTGTGCAGGACTCTCGAGTTCCTCCATGACCTCAAACCTAGTGAACACCTTTGGGATTAGAAGACCTGATCCCAAAGCTGTTCTTTAGAGTTGAGGGCAGGTACTGATCTTGGATGAGAAGACCTTATACCAAAGGTCTTCCAAAAGTAGGATTGAGGTCAGGGCTTCTGTACAGGACACTCAAGTTCCTCCACACCATACTGGTCATCCATGTCTTTATGGAGTTGGCTTTGTACACGGGGGACAGTCATGGGGGGACAGTCATGGGGGGACAGTCATGGGGGACAGAAAAAGGGTCTTCACCAAACTGTTACCACAAGGCTGGAAGAGCACAACTGTCTCCAATGTCTTTGTATGATGGAGTATTACCGGGACCCATCACTGGAGACACCTGAACTCCATCATTAGGAGATGGGTCACGTACATCTGGCCATGCAGGTAGGACCACAGAGATGAACCTTCACACATATTAACACCCGAGCTTCAGGCTGCAGTTCGGTTTTTGTATTTTTTTTTACTCGTTCTGATAATTACATATGTAAAAAGGGGACCAGGACGGGTTCTCACCTTGCCATCAGGACTGGTCTTCTTGAAGACTCTAAAAGAAAATAATCGATAAACAATAAAACGATGAGTGAGCCAATCTGGAATTTGTATGTGTGGACGATCTTCACGTTTCATGAGTCTGTGCCTACTGCTAGAAGGTTGAGGATGTTGGTGACACAAGGAACGGTTTACTATCCAGGGACTACGAAGCGTATATAGACAGGAAGTGGTGTAGATCTAATGTAAGGGCCACCTGGGTAACCCGTGTGTACTGTCCTCAGGGGTGCAGACGGGGTGCCCATCGTGAATCAAGGTCTTTAGACAATCCCCATGTCCGGGATCACTCACACCACGATGCATGCACTCTAACACGTGCGTTTTCAAGCGTTTTCAGTTGGCTGCCAATGTACCTCAACCCATGAATAAATAGGTCCCACTCGGGCTCGGTTCACACTTGGGATCCGACTTGTGGGACCCTCAAATCTCATGACATGTGAGACCCCCAAGTCGCATGATGTGAAATCCCATGTTAGTCAATGAGAGTCGTCTCTGAAGTCGCTTTAGTAAAGGTTCCTGAGCCACTTGGAGGCGACTTCCATCCCACTTGTGCCCATAGACTTTATTGGAAGTCGCCTCCTCCATCATCTATCGATGTGATTTGGATCCGACATGACAGGAAGATTACCCAGCATTCCCTGAAAGTGGCTTTGGAGTTGCACTCAAAAGTCGCACTGTAAGTCATGTTGGTGGAGAGGCGGGGCGTGGAGAGGCGAAGAGGTGGGGAGGTGGAGAGGCGGGGCAGTGGAGAGGCGGAGAGGTGGGGAGGTAGAGAGGCGGGGCAGTAGGGAGGTAGAGAGGTGGGGCGTTGGAGAGGTGGGGAGGTGGAGAGGCGGGGCAGTGGGGAGAGGCGGAGAAGTGGAGAGGCGGGGCGGTGGAGAGGCGGAGAGGTGGAGAGGTGGGGAGGTGGAGAGGGTGGAGAGGCTGGGGCGGTGGGGAGGTAGAGAGGCGGGGCGGGGAGGGCGGGTGGGAAGGAGAGGCGGGGCGGGTGGGGAGGTAGAGAGGCGGGGCGGTGGAGAGGGGGGAGGTGAGAGAGGCGGGGCGGTGGAGAGGCGGAGAGGTGGGGAGGTAGAGAGGGCGGTGGAGAGGTGGTGGAGAGGTGGAGGAGGGAGAGGCGGTGAGAGAGGTGGGGGTGGAGAGGTGGGGCGGGGAGGGGAGAGGCGGGGCGGGGGGGGGGAGGTAGAGAGAGGGCGGGGCGGTGGAGAGTGGGGAGGCGGGGCGGTGGAGAGGGAGAGGCGGGGGCGGGTGGTAGAGAGGTGGGGAGGTGGAGAGGCGGGGCAGTGGAGAGGTGGAGAGGCGGGGCGGTGGGGAGGTAGAGAGGCGGGGCGGTGGAGGGGAGGTGGGGGCGGTGGGGAGGTAGAGAGGCGGGGCGGTGGAGAGAGGTGGGAGGGAGGGGCGGTGGAGAGGTGGAGAGGCGGGGCGGTGGAGAGGGGAGAGAGGCGGGGCGGTGGGGAGGTAGAGAGGCGGGGGGCGGGAGAGGTGGAGAGGCGGGGCGGTGGAGAGGCGGGGCGGTGGGGAGATGGAGAGGTGGAGAGGCGGAGAGGGGGGCGGTGGAGAGGCGGAGAGGCGGGGCAATGAGGTTGAACTCTCCACCTGATCCAAGTGTTACCAGAATGGGGTCCATGCTGAGCGGCTGACCTCCTGTCTTCATAATGCAGCACAGCAGAGGCTCAGTATAGGACCCAGAAGCTAGAGGAGAGCACTGTAGTAGCAATATACTAGTGGTGTAGAGGTGTAGTAGCTGTGTAGTAGTGTGCAGAGGTGTAGTAGTAGTGCAGAGGTGTAGTAGCAGTGTAGTAGTAGTGCAGAGGTGTAGTAGCAGTGTAGTAGTGGTGCAGAGGTATAGTAGTAGTAGTGTAGAGGTGTAGTAGCTGTGTAGTAGTAGTGTAGAGGAGTAGTAGCAGTGTAGTAGTAGTGTAGAGGTGTAGTAGTAGTAGTAGTGGTGCAGAGGTGTAGTAGTAGTGCAGAGGTGTAGTAGTAGTAGTGTAGAGGTGTAGTAGCTGTGTAGTAGTAGTGTAGAGGTGTAGTAGTAGTAGTAGTGGTGCAGAGGTGTAGTAGTAGTAGTAGTGGTGCAGAGGTGTAGTAGTAGTGCAGAGGTGTAGTAGTAGTGTAGTAGTAGTGTAGAGGTGTAGTAGCTGTGCAGAGGTGTAGTAGCAGTGTAGTAGTAGTGTAGAGGTGTAGTAGCAGTGTAGTAGTAGTGTAGAGGTGTAGTAGCAGTGTAGTAGTAGTGTAGAGGTGTAGTAGTAGTGTAGTAGTGGTGCAGAGGTGTAGTAGCAGTGTAGTAGTAGTAGTGTAGAGGTGTAGTAGCTGTGTAGTAGTAGTGTAGAAGTGTAGTAGCTGTGTAGTAGTAGTGTAGAGGTGTAGTAGTAGTGTAGTAGTAGTAGTGTAGAGGTGTAGTAGCTGTGTAGTAGTAGTGTAGAGGTGTAGTAGCTGTGTAGTAGTAGTGTAGAGGTGTAGTAGCTGTGTAGTAGTGTAGAAGTGTAGTATTAGTAGTGTAGAGGTGTAGTAGTAGTGTAGTAGTAGTGTAGAGGTGTAGTAGAGATGTAGTAGCAGTGTAGTAGTAGTGCAGAGGTGTAGTAGAGATGTAGTAGCAGTGTAGTAGTAGTGCAGAGGTGTAGTAGTAGTGTAGTAGAGGTGTAGTAGTAGTGTAGAGGTGTAGTAGCAGTGTAATAGTAGTGTAGAGGTGTAGTAGCAGTGTAGTAGTAGTGCAGAGGTGTAGTAGTAGTAGTAGTAGTAGTAGTGTAGTAGTGCAGAGGTGTAGTAGTGTGTAGAGGTGTAGTAGAGAGGTAGTAGCAGTGTAGTATTAGTAGAGAGCTGTGTAGTAGAGTGTAGTAGTAGTGTAGAGTAGTGTAGGTGTAGTAGATGTAGTAGGTGTAGTAGCAGTGTAGTAGCAGTGTAGTAGTAGTGTAGAGTGTAGTAGCTGTGTAGTAGTGTGTGTAGAGGTGTAGTAGTAGTGTAGTAGCTGTGTAGTAGTAGTGTAGAGGTGTAGTAGAGGTAGTAGTAGCTGTGTAGTAGTAGTGTAGAGGTGTAGTAGAGGTGTAGTAGCTGTGTAGTAGCTGTGTAGAGGTGTAGTAGTGTAGTAGTAGAGTGTGTAGTAGTGTGTAGAGGTGTAGTAGTAGTGCAGAGGTGTAGTAGTAGTGTAGAGTGTAGTAGCAGTGTAATAGTAGTGCAGAGGTGTAGTAGTAGTGTAGAGATGTAGTAGTGTGTAGTAGTAGTGCAGAGGTGTAGTAGTGTGTAGAGTGTAGTAGAGGTGTAGTAGTAGTGTAGAGGTGTAGTAGCTGTGTAGAGAGGTGTAGTAGAGGTGTAGTAGCTGTGTAGAGGTGTAGTAGAGATGTAGTAGCAGAGGTGTAGTAGTAGTGTAGAGTGTGTAGTAGCTGTGTAGTAGTAATGTAGAGGTGCAGAGGTGTAGTAGTAGCTGTAGTGTAGAGATGTAGTAGCAGTGTAGTAGCTGTGTAGAGGTGTAGTAGAGTGTAGTAGCAGTGTAGTAGTAGTGTAGAGGTGTAGTAGCAGTGTAGTAGTAGTGTAGAGGTGTAGTAGTAGTAGTAGTGTAGTAGGTGTAGTAGTAGTGTAGAGGTGTAGTAGTAGTGTAGAGTGTAGTAGTAGAGATGTAGTAGCAGTGTAGTAGTAGTGTAGAGGTGTAGTAGTGTGTAGAGGTGTAGTAGCAGTGTAGTAGTAGTGTAGAGAGTGTAGTAGTAGTGTAGAGGTGTAGTAGCTAGGTGCAGAGGTGTAGTAGTAGTGTAGAGGTGTAGTAGCTGTGCAGAGGTGTAGTAGTAGTGTAGAGGTGTAGTAGCTGTGTAGTGTAGTAGTGTAGAGGTGGTGTAGCATGTAGTAGTAGTGTAGTAGTGTGTAGTAGAGTGTAGTAGCAGTGTAGTAGTAGTGTAGAGGTGTAGTAGCTGTGTAGTAGTGGTATCTACACAGTGATTTCCAACTTCCACCGGCATCAGCCGGGTACAATTGTGCCAAAGTGCACCCAATGAGCTGTGTCCCACCTGATCAGCATGCCCTGCCCCCTTTTCTTGCACCCATGGCGGTCGCCTCGTCTGCCTACCCCTCAGCCCGGCCCTGCACCCGGCACATTGGTGTTCCTTCCAGTGGAGGGCGCTATTCCCTGACATGTTCTTGGTGTGAGTGATCCCCGGGGCTGTCAGGACACATGTAGTCCTTCGGATGTCAGGGACGGGGAGAAGCAGGACAGAGAAATCCGCAGATTTGGATTCCGGATCTCCCATCATTGTAATGTGGAAATCTTACTTGGAACCGTCCGCCATACTGACTCCAATCTGGGGGAGAAAAAACAAAAACGATCATTTGTAGGTCGGGGGATCCTGAAGCTCAAAGAAATACATAATTCCACTGATTTAGCTGTAGTACTTGTTCTGCCACTAGATGTCCTCAGTTTCCGCTCCCCCAGGGATCAGGCTATACATTGTAACTTTGTAGAAGGAGGAGAAGTCATTTCCTCAGTCTCCTCCCCCGGGGTTCAGACTGTACATTGTAACTTTGTAGGAGGAGGAGGAGGAGTCATTTCCTCAGTCTCCTCCCCCAGTGATCAGACTGTACATTGAAACTTTGAAGAAGGAGGAGGAGTCATTTCCTCAGTCTCCTCCCCCAGTGATCAGACTGTACATTGAAACTTTGTAGAAGGAGGAGGAGTCATTTCCTCAGTCTCCTCCCCCAGTGATCAGACTGTACATTGTAACTTTGTAGAAGGAGGAGGAGTCATTTCCTCAGTCTCCCCTCCCCCAGTGATCAGACTGTACATTGTAACTTTGTAGAGAGAGGAGGAGTCATTTCCTCAGGTCTCCTCCCCCAGTGATCAGACTGTCTACATTGTAACTTTGTAGAAGAGGGAGGAGTCATTTCCTCAGTCTCCTCCCCCAGTGATCAGACTGTACATTGTAACTTTGTAGAATGTCACAAGATGAAAGGCTGCAGACAGGGGCTGATCTGTGTCAGACATTTGTGAACACAGCCAGGAAGTGGGATTTATATGATATTGTATGATGGAGTAATAACAGGACCCTTCCCTGGAGACACCTGAATTTGGAAGGGGGGGGGTTCACATACTTTTTGGCTAGATGGTGACACGACGGGGACATGATGACCTATTCTGTATACGATGTGTGTAGATGTCGGTTGCCTCACATTGAACGGAAATCATTTCCTGCATTTGGTCAGATAAGATCAACCCGAATTCTTTTTATTTCAGAGACCCCCCCTCCCCCCCCCCACAGACGTCTGCATTGTAGTAGCAGGAAAACCCAAAGCGACTGAATACTAACCCTAACCCTAACCCTAACCTAACCCTAACCCTATCCCTAACCCTAAACCTGACCCCTAACCCTATCCCTAACCTAACCCTAACCCTAAACCTGACCCTAACCCTAACCCTATCCCTATCCCTATCCCTAACCCTAACCCTAACCCTAACCTAACCCTAACCCTAACCCTATCCCTAACCCTAACCCTAACCCTAACCCTATCCCTGACCCTACCCTAACCCTATCCCTAACCCTAACCCTAACCCTAACCCTATCCCTAACCCTAACCCTATCCCTGACCCTAACCCTAACCCTATCCCTGACCCTAACCCTAACCCTATCCCTAACCCTAACCCTAACCCTAACCCTAACCCTAACCCTATCCCTAACCCTAACCCTAACCCTAACCCTAACCCTAACCCTAACCCTAACCCTAAACCCTAACCCTAACCCTAACCCTAATCCCTAACCCTAACCCTAACCCTAACCCTAACCCTAACCCTAACCCTAACCCTAACCCTAACCCTAACCCTAACCCTAACCCTAACCCTAACCCCCTACCTCCCTATCCCTAATCCCTAACCCTAACCCTAACCCCTAACCCTAACCCTAACCCTAACCCTAATCCTAACCCTATCCCTAACCCTAACCCTAACCCTAACCCTATCCCTAACCCTAACCCTATCCCTGACCCTAACCCTAACCCTATCCCTGACCCTAACCCTAACCCTATCCCTATCCCTAACCCTAACCCTAACCCTAACCCTAACCCTAACCCTAACCCTAACCCTAACCCTAATCCTAACCCTAACCCTAACCCTATCCCTAACCCTATCCCTACAGCCGGGTACTAATGCAGAGGTTTTTGTTGTCCCCACATATCTGCACAGGTGATGTGGATTCAGGGATCTCCCCCACTAAGCTAGTTTATTCTGGCAGCATCCCCCCCCCCATTCTTCAGAGTACAGTACGGGTACTCCAGGTACTCCTCCCCTCCAACCCATGGTCTCCAAGTTACCCCATTTTGGTAGAGAATACAGAACCCAGGATGTGTAACCCCTATAGGTCCCCCCATAAGCAACAATAGATCCCACCCCCAATAGATCCCAAGTAATAGATCCCCCCCCTTTTAGACCCAGCAAATACAGAACCAAGGATCATTTTAGGAATTAACAAATAAAAGGCAGCAAAAATAGGTCCCCAACCAGCAACAATAGATCCCACCCATCAACAATAAAAACCCAGCAACAATAGATCCCACCCAGCAACAATAAAAACTCAGCAACAATAGATCCCACCAGCAACAATAGATTCCACCCAGCAACAATAAAAACCCAGCAACAATAGATCCCACCAGCAACAATAGATTCCACCCAGCAACAATAGATCCTCACCCAGCAACAATACAAACCCCAGCAACAATAGATTCCACCCAACAACAATAGAAACCCCCAGCAATAATAGATCCCACTGAGCAACAATATAATCCTCAGCAACAATAGATCACCCAGCAACAATATAAACCCCAGCAATAGCAGAACCCCACAGAAATAATAGACCTTTCCAGCATCTATAGAACCCTCATCAAAAATAGATCTCTTACAGCAACAATAGGTTCCCCCCCGCAACAATAGATCCCTCCCAGCAGCTATATATCCCCCAGCAACAATATACCCCCAAGTAACAGTAGAACCCTGAATAACAATAGACCCCTCATGACAAAATACCCTCCACTAACAATAGATCCCTCCCAGCAACACTATACCACCCAGCAACAGCAGAACCCTGCAGAAATAATTGACCTTCCCAGCAACTATCACCTAGCAACAATAGATCTCTTACAGCTACAATAAGTCCCCCCAGCAACAATAGATCTCTTACAGCAACAACAAGATCCCCCGACAACAATAGATCCTTCCCAGCAGTTATAGAGCCCCCAGCAACAGTAGATCTCCTGCAACAATAAAACCCTGATTAACAATAGACCCCCCATGGCAAAACACCCTCCAGCAACAATAGATGCCTCCCAGCAGCTATAGACCCCCCAGCAACAATATACTGCCCAGCAACAGCAGAACCCTGCAGAAAAAATAGACATTCCCAGCAACTATAGATCACTCAGCAACAATGGATCTCTTACAGCAACAACAAAGTCCCCCCCAGCAACAATAGATCCTTCCCAGCAACTATAGATCCCCCAGCAACAGAAGACCCCCAGCAACAATAGAACCCTGATTAACAATAGATCCCTCCCAGCAACAATATATCGCCCAGCAACAGCAGAACCCTGCAGAAATATTAGCTCTTCCCAGCAAGTATAGAACGCCGGTAACAATAGATCCTTCCCAGAAACAATAGATCTCTTACAGCAACAATAGCTTTGGAGAAAAAAGATGAGCAAAGACATCCCGCGGCTGTGGGCGGAGCCTGGACTGGGGACATCCCCCTGCAACTGCTCTGAGCCTCCTGTGTATCTGCCCATCTCCCTCCATGGTGCAGCACTGGGGCCCAACAGCCAATCACCAGGCCAGAACACTGTCACATGACAGACGGGGTGATGTCACCGACCCTGTGTAAGCTCCAACACCTTCCAGCAAGGATGCCGGGCCGGACCAAATAAACCTTTGCCCACCAGAGTTCCCCCCTACATCAGGGTCCCCATAAGAGCCCCCTTACATCAGAGTCCCCATCAGAGTACCCCCGAGACCCCGTACATCAGGGTCCCCATCAAAGTCCCCCTTACATCAGAGTCCTCCTTAAATCAGAGTCCTCCCTTACATCAGTGTCCCCATCAAAGTCCCTCCTTACATCAGAGTCCCAATCAAAGTCCACTCTTACATCAGAGTCCTCCATAAATCAGAGTCCCCCCCTACATCAGGGTCCCATTCAGAGTCCCCCTCTACATCAGTGTCCCCATAAGAGCCCCCTTACATCAGAGTCCCCATCAAAGTCCCCCCTTACTTCAGAGTCCCCATAAGAGACCCCCGAGACCCCGTACATCAGGGTCTCCATCAAAGTCCCCCCCTACATCAGGGTCTCCATCAAAGTCCCCCCCTACATCAGGATCCCCATCAGAGTCCCCCCTCTACATCAGTGTCCCCATAAGAGCCCCCCTACATCAGGGTCCCCATAAGAGCCCCCTTACATCAGAGTCCCCATCAGAGTACCCCCGAGACCCCGTACATCAGTGTCCCCATCAAAGTCCTCCTTTACATCAGAGTCCCCCCTTACATCAGAGTCCTCCATAAATCAGAGTCCCCCCCTACATCAGGGTCCCCATCAAAGTCCCCCCTACATCAGTGTCCCCATAAGAGCCCCCTTCCATCAGAGTCCCCATCAAAGTTCCCCTTTGCATCAGAGTCCCCATCAGAGTACCCCTGAGACCCCGTACATTAGGGTCTCAATCAAAGTTCCCCCCCCTACATCAGAGTCTCCAGAGTCTCCATCAAAGTCCCCCCCTACATCAGGGCCCCCATCAGAGTCCCCCCTTACATCAAAGGGCAGGATAGAGTCTTGCAGTGGGCCAGGCCATACCGTGGAGATCCCTATAACAGAATACAGGTCTAAGTTGCATGTTTTGTCCAGAAGGGTCCATCATTCCATTCTTCTCCTACGCATGCTCCTTTGGCGTATTTTCTCGCACCGTACAATCCATCTCCCAAAGATGGCGCCCGCACATTTCCATGAATGTGCCCTTACCAAGGCTCTGCCAGCAAGCCATATGCAAAGAGAGGTAAGTGGCCATCAGGCTACTCCCTCTCCAGGTCAAAAGGTTTTTTATTTCCTCAGAATAGAATGAAACAGGAAAATACCGCTTGATGGCCACTAGATGGAGCTGATCACAATGAAAAAAAAAGTATTTTCTATGATCATCAACTCCATATGGTGGCCATAATGAGGGGAGGGAGGTGCCCCCCCCCCAACGATCACTTCTCTGGGTGCTATGAGTAGACTCCAGTGGAGTTCCTTCTTGGGAGATGTAGGCCAAAAGGACTTCTCTGAGGTTGAGCCTCGATAGATAT